TACCATGCTCAGACACTGATCCAGAGCAGCCACTGCCTCACCTGGGTTTGATGAAAAAGAGAGCTGAGCTGAGTATCATCTGTATATTGATGATACCTCAGACCATACCTTTGGATAACCTCTCCCAGTGGTTTCATGTAGATGTTAAATAACATAATTGTATTTTTGGAATAAATCACCCCCACCATTTTTTGGCCTCAGTTAATTTCTATACAAGACCAACTTTGCTGTAATGTTTTCACTTAGGTCTGCAAAGATGACAAAATATTTTTACTTCAAGTAGAAAAGCTGTTGTGGAAGTTTACTCACTGCATTTAGTGCAGCTCCATCTTCCATATTTAATTATTCAATTTCTTAGCTTTCAAAACAATAGTCTTCCCAGTCCAGTTTACAGAATCTGATTTTTAAAATCTGGTTTTTAAAAAATCATTGTTTTTTATCGACTCTGGTAGCAGCTGTCGTTTGAGTTATCTTTAAAGTTATCCCAAGGTAGAGTTCATTATACTAGTCTGTATGTAGGCCCATCTTCCCTAGATAAGGTTTGCAATTGACATACAAGTCAAAATTGATAAAGTACACTCCTGGCTACTGCTGAGGTAGTGCCAAGTTCAGAAGGATTCCCAGGCTACAAACCTTATTCTTCAGGAGAATTGCATTACCAGTTGAATCCGCCTATCTAGCAGATTTCCCTGCCATCTTTATGTCTTCCTGGTTTCAGCTTCAGCCTTCATCCATCACAAAACTGATTTCAAGCACCTATCCCAGAGTTTTACAACTTCCCTGGGATTAGTAGGTGGAAACTGAGGTAGAGGAGTTGCTGCTCTTGCTCCTTCTTACTTTGTTTTTATACCCCAACTTTCTTCCCTCTTGTGAGGAACCCAAGGTGGATTATGTAACTTTGTTCTTATTACAAAAACCGCCCTGTGAGGTAGGTTAGTCTGAGGGTAAGTGACTGGCCCAGAGTCACCCTATCAGCTTCATGACTGACTGAGGACTAGGACAGAGACCTCCCTTGGTCTCCAGTCCAAAATTCTAACCACCATGCCAGCTTTATTATTATCAACTAATATTACCAGTATATTAGTGAGAGTAGAGCCCAAACTTCCTTCCTCTTTCTGGTATTGAGCTCTGGAAACAGTGTTCGAGTTTTCATTACGAACTCCGGTATCAAGAACCAGACCTGCACCAACCCTGTTCTTGTTTAAAAAATGCATCTTAAGTATATATGCTGGTTTTAATAAAAGTGGACAGCCTATCTGAATTAGCAGGAAGGTGCAGGAGTTGTTTCTAAGCTAGCATTTGGCAAACTGGTGTTTATATCTGTTACTTTAGGATGAATCTAGGTTCTTGTAACTAAGAACCAGCTGTGAACCACCCTTACATTATATCAGTCTTCACTGCGCTTATATGGAAATGTGTCTACATCTATGTCAGTTTATCAGATTTTACTTCTGATATGCTTGGAATTGTGCTGTATTGTTACATGATTGTAGATCACTTCAAGCATTATTGAATTGAAGGGCAATTTAGAAAAAATGATAGAATTTGCCAGTCACACTATTTTATTTATCATCCAAGCTTGATTAAGTGCTTAATTGTGTTTAAATGAGAGTCTTGAGCTTTCAGATTTGCCTTTATGCTTAGCTATTTTGACCATCTTACTAAAGTTTCAAGGCAATACCAAACAATACATTGATGTGAGCCCTAACATTGTCAGTATATCTTGTTGCTTTATGCCAGCTCTGGCAAGGCCAAGAGCTGAACTGTTGCTTCACATGAAGGTTTCTTGAATATCACTGTTTTTACTATCTTTATGCTGGAATGAAAACACTTGCTGAAGATTTCTGGAAGAAAATTTCAATGAGAGATTAAATGAAAATGTAGAAAAGTAGAATGGATGTGATAGAGAAACTGTAGTTCTGCACGATTTGTGGATATTTGAGCAGAGGTCAAGGGAAACGTGTATATGTTAGGCAAAGTGTTGGTGGATACATGTTAAGAATAAGTGCAGTTGTAGTCTTAAGCAGTTTCCTTACCTACCCTTTATCTGCAGTCTACAAAGACACAGTTTTAGTTATTTACTAAATTATTGTTACAGTCTGATAAGATAACATCTAACAGCTTGTCTTGTAATGTTTTGTCTTGTGCAGAGTCTGGAAACGGGCAAATAAATGTCATTATAACACATATTGAGTGTTTCTATATTGGCACTCCAGTGACAAATAAGTGAACTAAGTTCAAAGATATATAACAATAAAAAGCAGCAACAGCAGCCTCAGCATATCCTTGAACACATGCTGGCACAACAAGTAGTAGAGGAATATCAATATGCAAGTGGCACATTAAAATTTCTGGCATTTTTATAGCATAGAAATGGGGAATGTGTGGCCCTCTAGATGTTGTTGGACTGCAACTCCATTGGCTATTCTAGGGAGGGCTGAAGGGAATTGAGTAACATGTGGCAGGCCACATGTTCCCCAGCCTTGTTAATAACCAGTATAGTTCCTCAGCCAGTAGATTGCAGCCCTGCGCAGCTTGGTGTTCTCTACATATTTTGAACTACAATTCCCAGCAGTGTCTGTGTAACAAAGACTTAAAGAATAGTGATGGGTTTATGAATATATTCCAAAATAAAGGGGAATGTATTCTCCTGCTATGTTCAGACTAATTGTAACAGATCATAGAAAGTTCTATAGATACTAACATCAACTTTCATCAGTGGAAGCTGTAATTTTTCAGAGCCATCTAATTTTTTTAGACTTATGTTCATAATGTATGGTGAGTCACAAGAGTCAGTCTCTCCCCCTCCCCCCCTCCCCCCCCCTCAGAAACATCTCACAGTAGGAACTAGTATACTTAATTCAGCACTTATAGCAAGCATGTAATTTCTGACTCCACTTAAACCATGTAAAGATGACTTGTTGAAAAGGTTCTTCATCCACATATGGGAACTTAAATGACCATAACATCTTAATTATTCACTCTAATACAGATGCTTTCCCAAGTGTCATACATCACCATATCATATTCAGTGCCTTCAAATATATAACACATAATCATATGTAATGGCATGCATTTTATTGACAGTTTCCTGAAAATGGTTTGCCATAACTTCCAAAATAACCTGTGGCATTTTATAGCTTTGATTTATTTCTGTGTTATGTTGATCAGATGTAAAAGAGGCAGACTAGGTTCAAGCTGTACTGTAGTAAAAGGTTGTCTGGAGCATAGCTATTTACTATAGAGGCTTTGGGTCAGGAATGAAGATACCTACCCATCTCTTGCATCAAATCTTATGGATTCAGTGTCTGGTGAATCGTTCACCTGTGATATTCCTGTGGTACTGGATTCTTTAATGTGTGACTTTGAAACGTGTGTCTATGAATAGTTCCTTACTTATTCATGCAGGGGGTGTTTGAGATGCCTGTGAAAATAGGAAAGCAACCTTGGGGGCAACAGAAGGAAGTGAAAAGGAATGTGTCCCACATGGTTGAAACAGCCTGGAAATATGGAAACTTTTCGCTTGATGTGGCAATACTGATTGAAGTCCACCATGTTAAACCCTCTCTGTTAAGTCTGCCATATAGATGCCTTTTGAGTACTCTCCCATCTAATAGCTGCAGTAGAAAGTTTGGCATTAAATAGGAGTGTTGACTGCTATGTTCCAGCAACTGTGTGTGCACAAACCTGCCAGTGTTCAACCTGATATATCCATACTTTTGTTGGGAATACAAATTGTAGATATATCAGTGTGCAAGAGTAGTAACATCTTAAATTACTAGCCAATCAGTCCCTAGGATGGCACATGGTTTGGAATGGGAAAAATGGGAACATATCATGGAACAAGTTGGAATAAGTCTGTGGAAGCCATTTTCCAAAATGGATATTGTCTATCTTCTTCAAGCTATGAACTGTGGCACCTATGTGCATAACATCTGTGTTTCACTAGAGCTTTTGCAGTACCAAAGGCAGTGCTACCCTAAACTGTGATGAAATAAATTCTCAGTCTATTCCTTGGCATTTTGACAAGGTTTGCAACACGCTTATGAGAGGAAGAGTATGCATTCCTAAAGGCATTGCTAGATATGCAGTTACATGGTTTATATACTGTCAGTTGCTTTTCAAGATATAACCATCTCCATGTTACCTCCCCTTTGGATCAGAGCAATCCTTTCTGTATCTACTGGCCTACCATAATAGAGGAATATTTTTGAGTGAATTTGGAGCTTGAGAAAGACTGGTGCAGTTTTGTGGAGAATACAGGGAGAAAGTCTGATAATTCAGAGGCTGTTGGAGAGCTAAATGCAGACTTCTGTCTTCGCACAACCAACATCGAGAGCTGCTGTATAGCGAGGGAATTATTGAGGCTGACAGCTACATTCCAGTCCAGGATTCTACAGTGTTAGTCACAGGTATGAAACACACCAACTATTCATCTACTTTTTTTCATATCCTGTTACTAGTCCTAAACTAGCCTTCAAATATATCTGCATCTTATTGCTCAGCTTAATTTCATCCTTTGTCAAATAAATTGTAGTGTGATTATCTTTATGCAAGTTTGTCTACTAGTTTACTACTATTATCCTTATAAGAAACTGAGTTTGTGGCACAATATTTGGGGATGGGGGAGGGCTGTTCTTAATCACTTTACTCTTCTCACTTCATTAAATGGCATAGGTGCAATAGTTCCTCTGCAGCAAAAAGATAATTAATTGATGAGGGATTGGTGAGACTTACTGTAGAATTGTAACAGGTGGTAGCTGTAGCCAATTAATGATGCATTATTTTTGTGTTTTCCTTTTCAGATGCAAAGTAAGGATATGACACAACAGTTGAACAACATTCATTTTGTGGAAAACCATATGTTTGTGGCAGCTATATTGAGGACATTAACCCCAGTAACTCCCTCTGCATTATGTATCAGAAGTATACCTAGTGAAAACATCATTATCTGCAAATGGTAGGAAAAAGGATTCAGGAGACTATAGAAATTTGAAAGGATGTTGCCAAGCAAGTTTTATTAGTAGACATTCACAGACTGCTCATCACACCTTTAACCAAATTTATACCAAGAAAAAGACAAAATTTATACCAAGAAAAAGACTTGAGGAGAACCTAACAGAGGAAAAATGTGTGTGAAGCTGTTGGCAATCTACAGGATTTAATAACATACGTAGTCATGTGATAGGAAGCAAGGCCCTTTTTGTTGCATGGTTGTCTCCTTCAAAAAATATAATCCAGATTGACTGCAATGTGCTTTGTGTGGTCAGATTCAACACAGTGTGTGAGATGCAAGCTTGGCATCTGGTGGTTGCGGAGCACAGAGATTGTTAAAATGAAGTGTATGGACAATTGGTGATTTGATCTCATGTTTGGAGGGCTGATTTCTTCTACCACAAAATTTGTTTGGAAACATACCTTTAAAAGAATCAGAAAAATTGTATTGTCAGAAACAACAGCCACTCAGAAGAAGGGTTTTGAAGGAATAAAACCCAGTGTTAAAAAAACTGCTTGACTGTGGCCATGGAATTTCATTTCAGACATTCAAAATGTTATGCAAAAACTTGTAGTGTCAAAATTTCAGGTGCTGGTTGCTTGGTACATTTCAGTATCCATGAAAACAGGAAAAAATAACCGTGGTGTTACTGGAATCTGGAATTGAAGATGTACTGGAACTTTTGCACTCCATTGATGCTGTTAAAGGTGCTGCACAGATTATTTGAAAGGCACTATTGGATACGGACCTTAGTTCAAAAGACACATTTTGTTATTCACAGGAATTAAAAAGCCTCAGTGACAAATGTAGAAATATACTAGATCTGGTACTGACACAAGCACACACAGTATCTGTAACTAACACTCCTCAGAATACTGCTCAACAGGTCACAAGCACCACTGCTCACAGTTAAGGGCGGCCAATTCTGTGATGTCTGCCATTGACAGATTGATATCTGAAAGAGAACAACAGCATTGAAGTCACATGTGTAAAGAGGAGCAAAAGTCTTCAGACAAGGCTGCTTACAGTCTTCATGGAAACAAGAAGAAAAAACCCTTATATATCATGACAGCACATTCTGTGTCATTGTCCCATCCCCCCTGACATTTCTCATTTTTCCAAGGACGTGTTTACCTCAGCACACAGCTTTCACCATGCAGACTGTTCATCATTTTGAGAACACTGAGTGATCATGACGCTTCAGTCACTTAAGTGCAACTTAGTGTGCCCCTCTGTTGGTCTCCCATTTTCTTTACTAAATCTGAATTAATTCTTGTAGCCTTGCTGAAACTTTTTATTGTTTCAGTTTACAAGAAGGTCTCAAAGACTATATATAAATACTATAAGTTTGTTTTGCAGAATTGGGAAGGTTTATGCTAGTTCCTTTGTGCTATAAATTAAAAATGTGGATTCATGGTAAAAAGAGCTTAGAGAGGAACAAATTGGGTGTGACTGGTGTACTTTATAAGTACTCATTACTTGGTTCTGGCTCATTTAGCAAAGAGAAATAAACTAATACTCTTAATTCCCAACCTGCTTCTTACTCCATGTTCCATGACTGCCTCTGGTGTCATGGAGTCTATTGCCTTGATAAGAGGCTACAGTTTCTGATCCTGCACCATAATGCATCTGCCCAGGTGCATTGAAACAATTATAGCCTCATTTTCTCCTTGAGATCAATAGCTCCTTGAGATCATCCTCCTAAGAACTGCTCCACAGAAATATCTTTTATGTGGGGGATGTAGTTCTAATTGCCCAAACCTATTTGGGTATCAGGCAATTATTGCTGATTTGCTGGCAATAATTTTAAAACAATTATTAAAAGTAACAGTTGTCATTTTCCACGAGGAGGATTAGATAGTCTAAGGTTGGATTATTGTGGACATGAACAAGTTGATTCTTAGAATGTTTTGATATTCAGTTTCATGAGGCTGCTAATGGAGATTTCTAGAGAGATCTGAAGTCAAGGCTGAACAAAAAGTCACAATAGTTCACTGTTTCTTTTTTGGATTAGTTTAGTTTTGTTTTACAAAAGGGGGCAACTTGTTACAGAGCCATCTTGCATTGCTAAAGCCAAATCTGTATTGCATATTGTCTTCAGAGCATCTTTCTAGCTCCCATGCTCAGTTTCCTTTTGAAGGTGTTAAATACCACTTTCTTAGATTTATAGGTGCGCTTCTAGTGCTACTCTTAGATTGGAAGTTAGTCGTAATTCCTTATCAATTGTTCAACCTGGACATATTCCATTCCATTTTAGCTTCACAGCATCTTTTGCTTGCCCCCAATTTCTTTATTCCAGGTGATGACAGACTCTAGTAAGTCTGCCTGGAAGGAGGAGATAGAATGGAAAGTTCTTTCAGCAGGTCAGTCTTTTGTAACTGGGAAAGAGCCAGTTTTATTGTTAAACAGAGGCTAACAGATTTTAGCCTGTAAAAATCTTACAGATTAGCACTTAGGTCCATGCTCAATCAATGGAGTTGCCAGGCCCAAACTTCAAAACAGAGATGTCCTATTTAAATTGGCCATCCAATCCTAAAAATGAGAGAGATTTTTTTCTGACTTGATACAATGTTCTGCCCTCTAATTTTTTAGATGGTAGATACAATAAATTCCAGCTAATGACAGATGTTGCCTATGCAGCAATGAAAAGAGTCTGTTGTGTATTTTCTTCAATTGTACTCTTTATCAAGGAGCTAAAGAAACTTGGATGCACTCCTTTATATAATCCTTCACTTAAGGCTCCCTGTTGATTATTTTGCTTGAGAGTTCTAATATTTCAGTTACAGCAAAGGTTACCAAATGCTTTAGTGTAGCCATCTGGATCGGACCTTTTGATTGCTTCATGATTCTGTCCTTAAAAGATTAGTAGTCACTCTTAAATTTATATTTGTATTTTTTTATTTTGTTTGTGGTTGGTAGACCATTGATAATGAACTACTTAAATACAACTTACGTTTGTAACATCAGAGCCACTGTATCATATGCTGCTGTTTGAAACAAGCCCTATACCTTGGTATTGGAATTATGCTAAATGATCAGACTGTTGTTATACCTATAGCATGTGGCAGTAGATTCCCAGAATAAAATGCAGGGGATGATTTACTGGTTAAAGGCAGAGAATTAAAATAGAATTTGTGTTTAAGTCTAGTGAAAACAAACTTTAACTTGAAGTATGATGGCATCCTGTCCTCTTAGGATCTAGATGTCATGTACTACTTTCACAAGCTGTTGTAGTAGGAATGCAAATTAGATTTCTGGTTTTTGCTTGTTGCATAATCAGGGACAGTGTATACTGTTATGCATAATTTCCCAAGTATTTTGTTACAGTCTTTGCATACTGTCTCTGAAATGTTGGTTGTAATTTAGGAAACTAAGCAAAAGGATGGAAAAGCTTAAACATTGCTGCAGTAGCAGCGGTATGTGTCTCCCAGAAATCTTGGTTCTAGCACAATTATTTTGTTGCTCTTAAGTTTCACTTAAATTTAAAATAATTATTTCTCTTCTTTTCTAGAGGTTTTCTGAGGTCTGGAAAAATGGCAGACATTGACAAGTAAGAATTTTATCTTTGGCTAAAGTGCTGTTATATCTTTCAGTTGTGCTATGATTAGTAATTGAATACCATACCTTAATCAGGCCTCTGTATGCCTGCTCATACTAGATTCAGTGTCTTGAGAAGTTTTTTGTAATGCAGCCTTTGGAGTTTTATGGCTGTGAAGATAGTTACAAATTTGTGGGTTATGCATATTAAATCTTGGATCCAGGCAGCAGTAGTCCTCATGTGAGGATAGAGCAGACACATACCTTCCCTCCATGTTCACGATGCAGCATGGGCAATCCATGTAGAAATTTATACAAATGGCTCATTAATTTGGACAGGTCTTCCACTTGAAAGAAAATGCATTAAACTTGCATGTATGGGCTTTCTGGGAAGGTATATGAATCACAGGTACTTCATATATAGTGTTTATATATACTTTATATATGAAGAGAGAATCACACATGCCTGCTCCTCCATGATATGGGTAACACAGTGTAGGAGCTTTGCATTGTTTTTATAGGTACTGTTACATTCCAACTTTTTTCTCTTGCATGGAACCCAGGGAGGCTTACATGGCCTTGTTCCTGTCCATTTTATCCTAGTAATTAGAGTTTTGGTTTTAATACTCTGGCTTCAATTACCGCCAAATTGCTTTGCTCAGAATATTTTTGCCATTTAAAAAATTGTGAAATTGTGCTGACATATTTAATGCATTTACTTTACACCAAGCTATTTGAAGTAGTAAAGATGGGTTTGAACTTAAGGTTTTATATGGCATTATATATATGTGTGGAACAAGGTATTTCACGATGGACTCATTTTTCTACCCTTTTTCAAATAATTTGGTGCAGTAGCAAAAGTAGGTGCTATAAATGTGTGTGTGTGTTCATATCAAAACTAATTTAGGTTTACATTCTCAGCATGGCTAGCAGCAATTTAATTGCATTTCTTGATCCTTTTCCATTTAAAAGACTCACAATAAACATAGGTCATAGAAAAGGGGCTCTAAAAAGTTAGATGTGGCATACAGGCATGTTGTTTACCCTGTGGATGCACCAGTGTGCAGTCAAGAGAACATTACATGGCTTAAATCCTGGCACAACAAGAACAGAGTGTCAGTCAGACTCCAGTTCTAGTGCACATTTTAGAGAAGTTTAATGTTTCTAAAGGTAGTAATGCTGCATTTGAACCTGTCTCTTCTGTCTTCATTTTGGTCAATAATATTAAATCAGTAAGACAGTGTTGTCTTACCTCTTCCTAAAAATGTCAGTTACAGTGGCTTTGGTGCTAAAGGCAAGGTTCTACACATTTGCAGTAGAAATAACTAAAGGAAGGTATACATAATTTTCAGTGCAAGAGTTAAAGTTATTGTAAGCTGTATATACCACCTGTACCCCATTTTATTTCACTCATTAATGAGGTAAAAATCAAGGTATCACCCTGCAATAAGTCTATTCCAGTATCACTTTCCATTCTTAGAGTCTCTTGATACTTGGCATCCTTATGTTGCCTTTTTGCCAATCTATTAGGCAATGCTGTGACATTTGGTCCAGAAATATTGTTGTAGTATAATAATGCAAGTTTGTGGTGTGGGATCATTATTGAGTATGGATACAATGAAGGAAAAGAGGATACATGATACAAGGAGAGGTCAGTATCTATACCTATCGCATATGTTGCCTTTCTCACATCATGAATCTGCACCATAAAGAAACTGCTGTATAAAGGTGTTTCTCTGATTATATTGACTTGTACTAGATATTCACGTTAAAAAGCCTGGAAGCATTAAGTCCATGTCAGTACTGAACCAGAGGGAAAAAATTGTGAGTTATGCTTTAGAAAATTGGTTTGGAAAACTCATTTCTAGCCATGATCTCAACTAAAATGTTGCCAGTTACTACCCAAAGTCATAATGTTTTCAAAAATTATGAATACTTAAAATTGTTTGGTTAAAGATACTCAAATTGGTTCCTTGTTTGACTTGGATTTTAACTGACTTGAACTGGTTTTTAATAGCAAAGAACAGACTGAACTTGATCAGCAAGACATGGAAGATGTTGAAGAAGTAGAAGAAGAAGAATCTGGAGAGGATGCTAACAGCAAAGGTATGAACAAACTGAAGGGAGATCATGGAGGTAAATGCAAGAAGTACTTTTTCAGTTTAATCTGAAACCTTCTGGTAAAACATTTAGTCAGCATTTGTTTTAAGTTTTTAGAAAAAACTTGTCAACTTGCTGTGAAGCACTTGGACAATTAATTTAATACTACTGTAATATTTCCTACCAATATATCTGTAAATGTAATCAGATTAAGGTGCTATGCAATCCTGTGCATGTTTACTTAAAAATCCCACTGTGTTCAGCATTCCTTAATTCTGGATATGTGTACATAGGAATGCAGCCTCAAAAATGCACATTTCCATGCATGTTGATTTAACTTTTGTGACTGCATTTGTGTCTTAGACTTTATGTAGCCTTGTGTAATAAACTGTGCCCTCTAGTTTACTTAGCTTTTAATGCTTAGCATGTTATGCCACTATTAGATTTGATCTTTTCATCAGCTGGACAGAAATAATGCAGAATGCTGTCACATGCTGTATATTTTTATGAACATTTCTGTGCCCAGCATTGGGATATTGTAACATGTTTTTTTTAATCTCTTGTTTTTTTAAGCACGTCAGCTGACCGTACAAATGATGCAGAATCCTCAGATTCTTGCAGCCCTTCAGGAAAGACTCGATGGTCTGGTTGGAACACCTACAGGATATATAGAAAGGTACAGCATGTTTTCCTCTGTGTTCTGGCCTTTTTGTAACATTTTGTTTTCTGTAAATAAAGTTGTTTCTAGTATATCAAATAATAGACATTCTTCAAAATTATCTTAGAAAATGCAGAACCTTTAATTAAAAATAGTAGTTTTCAATAGGAGTCAAATTCGGGCAAAGCAATCCACTTGAGAGATATAAGAACCATGCTGGATCAGACCAAGGTTCATGTAGCCTGGCATTCTGTTCACATAGTGGCCAAGCAACTATCTATAGGAAATTCACTCTTCATTTTCATTTCATTTCATTTCATTTCTATATTCCCCAGTAGCTCAGGGCTCTCACAGGGCATGAGCGCAATAGAAGCTCCCACATGTGTACCCCAGGAACTGCCTCTGATAGCATATAGTCAGGAGAACTAAAAGCTGTCAACTAGTTCTCCTTTAGTTTGCAGTCCTACAAACACTTGAGAATAAGTACTTAACTCTTAATTCTAAGTAAACATGCATAGGATTATACTGATAGTATTGAGGAATACATTTGCTTGATAACAGTTCTAGGTTCCAGCTATTTGTGGGGCGGGTGGGGGGTAGTAGTGTTGTGTTTACAAAAGCTATACTTGACTTTCATGTTTGAAACAGATCATGCAGGATTTCTTGCTCTTTGAGCTTTGCACAACATATATGCACTCTTTGTGTTAGATTTTGTTCTGCCCTGCTGCTTCTCTTGACTTTTTATATGTGTAGCTAGTAGCTAGTCTTGAAAAAGCTTTTACGCTAGAATGGGGAAAGATTAATTTTCTTGATAATAAGAATTTATAATAGTAATGTAGAATGAAGGATGAAAAAATTAATTGTCCATATTGCTGGAAATGCACACCCAATATAGCATTTCACGCTCCAGATACATGGTTGGATGCTGTACTATTACAGTAGTGCCCAAATCCAAGTCCAGGCAATGCAGAAACAGAAGTCTGCTTATGAGGTGATACAAGGCATACATCAGGGTGATGAACATTTATTCCATCAAGGTCAGCGTTCACTTGGGGAAAGTGTCAGGGGCTGAATGCCAGTAGGACCAGAGCCTCCCCATATAACCTCTTACTTTGCACCCTCACTCAAGAACTTTGGGAGTGGGGTGGTAGCGATAAATTAAGGTCACTGCCACAAACTGTTTTTCAATCCAGCTATCCATTCCCCCCCCCCCCCACACACACACCTTATCACTCCCTTTTCCTGTGTTGCTTCATATCTCCAACCCTTACTCTGTGGGTCTTTAAAGAGCTGCCACTTCAAAGCACATGAAACACGTTGAAGCGGCATTTCTTCGCACAGCATGCTCCCGCCTGCTTTTTTTGATGGAAAGGTGAGGGGGAAACAGAGAGCCCTGTTTGTGAGTTACAGTGCAGGGTAGAGTGGAGATAGTGCCAGAATGAGAGTCTGCAGTCCAGATTGAGGTGTAACACAAATCATACACAACTAGCGTTTCTTAGATTCTGGTCTGAGTTTTTGCACAATAGTAACCATCCTCATGGCTGTGCTGAAAGCAATCTCTGTCATTAATCTGTTAGTAGGTGCTTCAGCACAGACCTAGAACACTAGCCTCAATTTGGTGAAAGGCTTCCTAGCTTTGACAGTTACAGCGCACCTTCTGTCAGTTCGCAGGTTTCTGCTGATAGATGCTGGCTAAAATAAATTGCTCATAAGTGGCAAGTAGGAAACTTGTTTTCTTTTTTCTAACAAAAAAGTCTTCTCATTTAGATAGATACAAAAGCAGCACCAGTATTTAAGAACAAAATAAAACAAAGTATCATATCAGGTTTGATTTAGAACTATTATGGGGCAAGATTTTTGTGAAAATGCATAGGCTTTACAAATGCTAAATTTGTATGAACTGAAAGTCTTTTGTCCATTCCTGCTGGTGGTCGGGAGAGCCTTTTTCTGTGCAGGTGTGAGACCCCTTGATATATCTTGGACTTGAGAAGTTGGGTGCTGGGTGGGATCTTTTGCTAATGGCTTTTTAGGTGTTCTTCCTCCTATGCCATGCACATGAAGATTCTAAGCCTTTGGGAGTAGCAACTGGAAGAGTAGAATTGCAAGTAGAAATGGCAAGTCAGGAAAAGCATTCTTTCCCTCAGCTGCTCTACTCTAAATCTCCCAAAGTTCTTTTTCTGAACTAAAAAGTCTAAGGGTCATTGTTACATGCAATTGCGTGTAACGTGTAGCCTGCCCCATACCATTTAATTGCTAACCACAATTAATCTCAGATCTGTGAACTTGCTTTCTTTTCTCTCGCAGCATATTTAAGTAACTTCTAATCTGCAAGGTCCTTGATCCAAGATCAGTAAGTCCTTACTGAGTTTCATGATGCTGCTTTTACTGCAACACTATACCTTGTGAGAAAAAATTCAGAAACCAGTTCTTTGTTGCTCCAAGTACAGTAGTTCACCCCTAAAACATTTGTAGCATGTTAGCTGAAGCATTTTGAAGCAATTTAAATTAACAGGTGTAATGTTTTTAACTCTTAATATTTGCATGCTTTTTTGATTTAAAATATTTTGCAAGTGTCACTTGCCTCTCTTATATCTAGGGATAACAACAAAAAGTACAGATTTGGTATAGGCTAATGCATACAGTGTATATGGTGTAGCTTGGCTAAATAGTTTCAGAAGAAGTCTTAATTTCTTCCTGCTCAAGATGCCAGTTTATAAGTTAGCCATCTAACAATCATTTTCAAATTGCTGCTTACTTGTTAAGGAAACTATTTGTATCAGTTGTCTTAAAATTTAATTACTGTAACCTCAGTGTTCAGTAGTTTCATCCTTTTGTCCATCTATAACTTGCCTTAGAGGTAATAACATTGAAGCAAAAACTTTTATTGGGGGATCAAGTTTATCAAACTAAAGGAATAATCTTGCTTAGCTGTGGAACTCAACTTTTCTAGTGGTCAGTGTCTCCTTGCCAGCAGATGGAACTATAACTGGTTGGTCCACAGTTGCCAAGAAATGTAGTGTACGGGTACCTCTTTGTTGGGGGCTTGTTTTGTTTTTTTTGCTGTAAGGATCTTACAGTTCTTAAGTGACAAAAGCAGAACTCTATGATAGTTTGGGAAAGAGAGAAAGCTTATGGAAGTGCATTAGCACAGTCTACCTATACTTGGTGCCCTCTAGATGCCATGGTGACACAGATGCTGACAGATGTAGTCCTAATACTGCTGGAGTATACCAAGTTTTGGGAGGCTGCATTAAGTGATGCATAACCTGCCTCTGACATTAATCACTGAATGATTAGTATTGTTTCATGGATTTTGTTGAATACTCTATTTTGACATTAGCAATTATAAATTTACTACGAGAATGCATAGGTACTTAATTTGAGGCAAGCTTATATTTTGGTTTCTCTGGTGTGTACTAGGTTGGAAGTGTTTTGTTGTGTCAGGAAATGCGGGTTTTGTTTTGTTTATATGTTTGTTACCCTTTAAAAGTAAACATAATACATGTAAGTAGCACCAGCAATACATGATCTTAAATATTTTTACTGTTGCCTTATTTGCCTGCCATGGCACTTTGCAATAACTAGTCCTTGTTTTAATGGATAACTATAAAGTTTGTTGCATGTAAAATTGCAATAACATACTAATGAGCAAAGCTGATTTAAAATTAAGCAATCTCTTATCCAAAGCTTTGATACCAATCAACGAGACTTACTAAATTGTTGCAATGATTCTGTAGTAGCTGGTTAAACATTAAAAAACATTTATGAAGAAGAAAGTACTGCAATAAACACTTCCCCCTTATATTCAACCATCCCTAAAATTCCTCAGAAATAACATTCTGAAAATATTCTAAACGGCTACAGCCATTTGCTGTGGTTCATAAATGAAACAAAAAAACCATGCCTTGCACTTGTTCTCCAATCATGAGCAGTCAGACAGGATATCCCTCTTGTAAGACACTGCCCTCTTTTAATTAGAGTGTTCACAGATCTGTCTGCTCTCAGAGAAAACAATGAGTAGATTAGGTCATGGTTGTTCCTAGTGGTGGTGCCAATTTTATGCTTATGCTATACGAACAAGGCTACTGAGTTTATTTTAGATAGATACAGTTTATACTAGTAGCATTAATTAAAAGTCTTTATAGTAGAGGCTTTACTTGTTTTTAGAAATCTTTTGTGGAAAATGAAAGCTTCACAGCGATATATAAACTCTTCACCTTACGTATTTAATTAATCACTCTACAAAATATGTTATAATCCCAAATTTTTCATGAAAATAATTTTTTTCTGGGTCTTCACATCTTAACTTAAATTATTGTTCTTGTTATGTAATGGTGTTTTCTTTCCCAAAGTTAGCTGTGAAGAAGGCATCCAGCAATGGGTTAGCTCCCTCTACCGCCAATGAAAAGCAGGAGTCACATGACAGGCTTCTTTCTATTATCTGAAATCCTGGGTTTCTCCCTGTTACGCTTCCCTGCCTCATATTTTTCCAAAAAAATAATAATACAAAATTCTAATAGTTAAGGCTCAGTACTGGGTTCCACCATCATAGATGGTAAGCTTAGGTACATCCAATTGCTGGATACCTTAAATTTGGGAAAGAATTATTGCCACTTACTGTGAAGTTTCCTTCTACATTAGAGTGGACAAGGCATCTAATATATCCTGTGATCACATGCTGAGTCTACAAGTTATTTGTAAGCAGTCAATCTGCTTTTCCATCAAACTCTGCTGCACTTCCTTGGAGAGGGGCACTGTTGTTATTCTTATTCTGCAACTTTGGATTTTCCTTCTGTGCTCTATAAGGTCATCATGTGTCTCAAAATGTGAAACTTCAGACAAGAAGGAGTGGAGGACCAAAGATAATATGAAAATCCCCTCTTATGGGTTTCCTGCTATTCCCAATGGGTTAACTCACAATAGGTCATCCCACAATAGAGAGTTAATCCATTGTTGGATGTCTTTGTCACATGTTAATATTTTGACGGACATATTAGTGGAAATACTTCTAATTCTATTGTCGTGTGTGTCTGCCCATATATGTATTTGTTTGCATGTGCACATAAGTTCATCGGGCTTTAAAAAAAAAAACTGGAGAAATGGTAAGCCTTCCATTAGTGTTGCAGAAGGTTTTAATGGTTGACTTTGGGCACTCTCCTATTGCTGAGATAGTAGAATGATCTTGCTATACTTCTCCTTTGCATTTTTCTTATATATGGAGAGATATCATAGGCACCTTTCAGTTCCTGCTAGCAAGCTTTGGACTCTTGGCATGGAAGGAGTGCCTCTGTAGTTGCTCAATCATTGTAAAGCTAGGTGGCATGGTGGCAGAAGATGAAGGACTAGGCTTAGTTTAAGATGTTTCAGTAGCTAGGATTGACCCTATTTTTTTCATCCTTGTTGCAAGTTGAAATCACCAGTTTGGAATACTGTAGTGAAACTTTATCTGTGTGCTTCATCATTGCCAGAATACGCTTTCACCTTGGCATGCATTGAGTTAATTAAGAAAAGCAGGCTTTTAAAATCCAGAGAAATCCAGCACGGTGCCAGCAGTTGAACACTTGACTTTTATATATCCTGAAGTCATATGACCTGGGTTTATCATTTTGGTTAACTTAATGAATGACATGATAGGGTACTAACTTCTGATCCGCATGAAGTGCACTTAATATATTGCCTGAATAAAGATAATAGATAATTGCTTAATTTAACTTTTTGATTCTTTTAATGATAAAGAAGTATAGGTTTGTAAAACTAAAAAGAAATTACAGCATTTAAGTTAATGAATTTGCTTTTACTGTAATACCTGTTTATGAATAAGCCAATGGCTCACATTCTAGTTCTTTGATTAACCTTGGATATAAAAAATTAAAACACCACAATCAAAACAGCATATTTAAGGAAGCTTTCTATTCACAGAGTGACATGATGTATGATTGCTCTTGCTGTAACACTGCAATATAATTCCCCTTTTCCAGCTTGCCTAAAGTAGTTAAAAGACGTGTGAATGCACTTAAGAATCTTCAAGTTAAATGTGCACAGATAGAAGCAAAGTTCTACGAAGAAGTTCATGAACTGGAAAGAAAATATGCTGCTCTTTATCAGCCCTTGTTTGACAAGGTAAACTTTATGCTTATATTGTGTTATATTTGAATGATCATAAGCAAATACATTGCTTTATATTTGAATGGTAGTGAGTGAAAATGGCAAATGGGACAGAATTCATGTTGGATCAGTGATTCTGCAATTTTGTATTTGTAAGTTATTTGTGCTTGGTTGCCTTTGATGTGTATTGGATCTAAATAAATTACGGTAACCTAAAATAACTATGATTTAAACTTCTAGAGGAGTGAAATCATCAATGCAGTTTATGAACCTACTGAAGAAGAATGTGAATGGAAAACAGATGCTGAAGAAGAAATTTCAGTGAGTACCTAAAACTGCTTTTTAAAAGAGCTTTTGTTTACTCATGTTTTATTGTTTGGAAATAGACTCATGCTGTTAATAAAGGCAGACAAATCATGCAATTCTTAACACTGTAAAGTGGGCTTTGTTGGTTACATGAACATTTCTAAATAGCTCTTGAAAGGGTGCGTACCCTAAATTTAGCAATGTATAGCTAAAAGTGCAGTATATAATTGAAGGTTTGTCTGATTATTGGAATAACACTTAATCTCTTGATTAGTATGTGGTACTTAAATATTAGAAAGAGTAACTTCTTAATTTTAACAAGGAGGAAATGAAAGAGAAGGCCAAGCTTGAAGAGGAGAAAAAAGATCAAGAAAAAGACGATCCTAAAGGAATTCCTGAATTTTGGCTGACTGTATTCAAGAATGTTGACTTACTCAGTGATATGGTTCAGGTAAAAGAATACACTGTTAATTTTTAGAAATGGTAAATGAAGTTTCCAGAACGTCAGGAACCTGATCATTACTAAGGCATTTCTGTTCAGCTTTGATTTCCAGAATATTCCAAGAATAATTCATGTTCTTTATCATCTGAACAGGCCTTTACCATAAAATCTTATGCAATAAAGACACAATACAACTTTGCTTGAGCAACTTTGCATCCAATTAAGGAAGCATCTAGTCCACCACTCCAATACTGCTACTCCAGTTTTTTTGGTGTGCTGGAGCATATTTCAAACAGGGCATACTGTGGACTTAAATGAGGCCACAGCAGGCCCCATGCACACAAGCACACAATCCAATTCTGACCCCAGTTAGATCAGACCAGTTTGATGTCTGCCCCGTTGGATTGAGATTTTGATAGGAAATCTCTGTCTTCGTGATTCCTATTGACTTCCTTTTTAAATAATCAAATGTCTATTGCTTATCAAAATAGGAAGTTTATAAGCATAGTTCCCTGTGTGGTAATTACACCGCCATATTTCAGACAGAAAAGTGCTGGATGTGTGTGTTATGTGACTTTCAAATTTGTATGTGTTTTTAAGGAAATGAAAAATAGCTTTTTTATTTCTTGATATAATTAGATGAAATTTTCACAGTTGTTCAAGCTTGTCAAGTCTCAGTTTCAGTGTGGTATTCATCCATATCTGAAACACACCCCAGTCCAAAGCATCCCATACATGGGGCTTTAGTTACCATATTAGTTATCATGACTTAATTGTATTATAATATATTCTTAATAAGTATATCTTAATCCTTTTAAAAAACATTTTAGTGAGTGACCACTTCCACATCCTGTGGCAGTGATTCTGTGAGTTACTTATATATTGTGAGAAATGGTAGAAGGTTTTGTCCATTCTGTTGCTAATCAATTTCATTAGATGCTCCTGAAGTTCAGTATTAGACCTTTGCCCATCTCTTAGATCCAGTTTCTCAATACTATTCATAATTTTAGAAACTTATTTCTTACCCACTTAGCCATCTCTTTTCAAATTGAGAAGTTCAATTCTATAATCATACACAGTTATATATTTTTCATACATTTTGTTTAACTTGCATGGTCTGCAAATCATGTGAATGTAAGATAACTAAGTGCTGTGCCTCCCACTGCCACCTTTACTGACTTTTATTTACCTGATATGCTAATAATCATAGGTGAATGAAAAATCAGACATCAGCGGGGCTAAATTAATGTACTATAAATTGAATTCTTTCTGAAAAAGGTGAACATCTTTACAATACCACTGTTGTGTATGCATAAAATAGCAAAATTTGCCCAGTCCTAGCCATGTGATATGCTTTTCATTTCTCCATAAACCTTCATTCATGTTTTATGGGAATATTTCCACACTGGGTATGTGATTGCTGTTACTGCCCGATGAACTAATTGTATTGGTGAAGTATAAAAATATAATTTACATGATCATCCCAGTTTAGTGGGGTTTGCTTCCTTTTCTTATTTTATACTGTTTGTGATCACTCTTTTGTAAATGCATCAAATAAAATAGGCACAGAAAACAATGATATTAACTGCATTTTTATTTTGTAGGAGCATGATGAACCTATACTGAAACACTTGAAAGATATTAAAGTGAAATTTTCAGAGGCTGGGCAGCCTATGGTAAGACTTTAAAAAACCCACTTTTAATAAGAATAGTAATATTGAAGTGACTAAAGTATTTTGGGTCTAGTAATCAACTGTGACATAACTGTGAACATTTTGCAATGAGATGTTTAAGATCAGTAATACTTACGCAGGCCATCAGTTGGCACCAATGTTAACCCAGTTAAAACAGTTAAGGTTCCCTGCTTTTAACTAGGATTATTAATTTGCTCAAATCCTGCCAGTGGATATTTGCATAAGCCCTGAGCAATGAACACAAATGTGTGAAGTATCCTTAGGAACTGCTTGTGGAAACTTTCTCTTTCCAGTTAGGCATTGCCATGTGGCTTTTGTTGCTGACAATTCTGTGGAAGCTAATGGGGTGCCCACCAGTGAGAATTCACTGAAAAATGAGAAATTGATACCATGCCACAAACAAGCAAACTAGGACCCTTTTTTATGTACAAAGTTATAATAAAACAACACTATCCATACTAGCTTTCCCTACAAACAAAAATAACAAATTTGAGGCTGTCATACTTCAAACACAGCATGAGAAGTCAAGATGAACTACAGAAGACAATTAGGTTAGAGAAAGTTGAAGGTAGAAGAAGAAAAGGAAAACCAAATATGAGATAAGTTGAATCCGTAAAAGAAGCCACTGTCTTGAACTTGGAAGAGCAGAATGGAGCTGTCATGGATAAGACATTTTGGAGGGCTTTCCTCAATAGGGTCACCATAGTTTGAAAATTATTTGACAGCATATAACAGCAACAACAGGGATGTAGGTGGCACAGTGGCTTAAACTGCTGGGCTGCTTGATTGAAAGGTCGCCGGTTCAAGTCTGCACAACGGGGTGAGTTCCCGTTGCTCCATCCCAGCTCCTGCCAACCTTGCAGTTTGAAAGCATGCAAATACAAGTAGATAAAAAGGTACCATTTCGGTGGGAAAGGTAACAGTGTTCCGTGCACTTCAGTGTTTGGTCTTGCCACCCACATGACCATGGAGACTTTCTGCTGACAAACACTGACTCCCTTGGCTAGGAAACGGAGATGTGAGCACAACCCCCAAGAGTCAGACATGACTGGACTTTAAGGTCAAGGGGAAAACTTTACATTTAACAGCAGCAACAACATCCATAATTGGGTCGGGGGAAGACGTGGTACTTCAGATGACAGTGAACTTCAGTTTTCTAACTGCTGGTCATATGGTTCAGACTAAGGGGAGTTGTAGTCTAGCCACAGCTGAAGAGCCACCCTGGCGTAGACAAATAGTAATCTGGCAAATTCATTTGAATAAGAAATGGAACTTAAGTTATGGTACTCGAATGATGCTGGATTCAGATCTCATTAGCACTGGTCACGGATGGGGATAATGGATGTTGTAGTCCAGCAGCATCTGGGGATCCAAAGTTTGGAATGACACAATTATGAACTATGTATACACAAAAGTGTAGAATGGATTTAGTACAAATTGTCATCTGTGTTTTAATGACATATGAATCAGTAATCTCTAATGCTACATTTCTATTTTTAAAGACTTTTACATTAGAATTTCACTTTGAACCTAATGAATATTTCACAAATGAAGTAGTGACAAAAACATACAGAATGAGATCAGAGCCTGATGATTCCGATCCTTTCTCCTTCGATGGACCAGAAATTATGGGTTGTACAGGGTAAGTTTAATACTGTGATAAAATAACTGACAAGCCACTGTCTCTAATTTATTTTGAAAAGCTAGTAGGCTACTGCTATCCTACATTTACCCTACTTGTTTAATATATGAATTATTTGCAGCTCATTGTTTAAAACTATCAATTCCAAGAAAGCTATGACAGTCAAAAGTGTGAGTGTGTGCATGACTGTGTGCGTTTGTATTTTGTGTGTGTGTGCACATGTGCATGAAAGCATATGGGACCAGAAAAACCTTGAAGGAAAAGCAAAGGATAAGAATACCATAGATTCCATTAATAGTAGGTACTGTTAAATGCTCAAGGAAAGGAATAATTCTTTGGCCAAACCCAGATGCTAAGGAAGTATTTATCACAAATTATGTTTCTGACATAGGTGTTTATGTCCAAATTAGGTTCCATAGACAAGATATTAGCATAGACATCTTTCTGGTAGCAGGTCTGTCTCAAGGTATTTTCTATACCACTGCTGTCTGAGCACAGAACAAAGTACTGCTTACGGCTCCAGATGTTGGATTTCGTGCCACACGTTTCCTCTTGCTGGAGATAGCATGTATTTTAAGCATGCAGAGAATGTTATTCTTGTTTTTCATGGACAAATCAATGTAGAAATGTCTACAAAGGAGAGATGAGGAAATGTTTTCCACTTTAAACATGACTTCTATCATCTTTGGCAGCACTCTTCAAAGAATTCACAGTGGATTACTTGGGGCTATGCAACTGCAGCCTTGCACTTTGCATAGGTGTGCTTGGGTCTCCTTTCTTGGTGGGAAGAAGGGTAACTTCCTTTCTGCCTCTGCATGTTCATTATTACCTGTTCAGTTATGAGTTCAGGCAGTTCCCAGCCCGGGTTACAAGCGAGTTCCAGTCCTGTGACTGGAAACTTGTATGTAAGCCAGATCATGCACAGTTGGCCCTCCACATTCATGGGCATTAGGGGTGCAGGACCCCTGTGAAAGTGGAAAAGCTGCAAATATCTCTAAGCTGTTCCCCCACCCCATCCACATTCACCAATGAGTCCTTTTTGCGGCAAGGAAATGGTGGACAGATATCCCTCCCTGGATGGGTGGGACACGAAGGCCTGCTTTTGAGGTCACTCCTTTCACTTTTCTTTCTCTCTATGGTGATGCTTTGGAGGCCTTCCCTCTCTCTCCCCTTTCACTTCATCTCTACTTTATGGTAGCTCAGGTTGTTCATCTCAGGAGCTGCCTGTGTATAGATAGTAATCCACTCAGCTGTTGACTTGCAACTTTTGGTCACTCCTAGGTTTAATGCCACATGTAATGGTAAACAGAAAAGTGATAAAGCAATTTGCTTGGTTGTTAGAACATCATCTGCAAATACAAACAAATTAGAGATTGTAGAAAAGATACCAGTTCCCAGTGGTAAGATCAGAAGGCTTATTGTCATGGAGGGAAGATGATTCCACAGAAACTGCCATTGAAATCCAACTACGCTTTCATCTTAAATTGTATGGCAAGTGAGATACTGAAACAATATTGTTTGATTCATGCGTGTAATCCTGCAATAATTTCTAGCCATGTTCAGGTCTATAGTTATATCATGTTAAAAACAGAATCTAAGTGTGCTTTGTTAGTGATAGGATGGCATTACTATTTTGGGCTTGGTGTGTTTCAGTAGAAAAAGTTAATGTTAAAATTAGCCAAGATTAATACATAAGTAGATTCTTGGTTAGTAACAGTGTTATCCTGCAGGTGCCAAATAGACTGGAAAAAAGGAAAGAATGTTACTTTAAAAACCATCAAGAAGAAACAAAAGCACAAGGGGCGTGGAACGGTTAGAACAGTGACAAAAACAGTTTCCAACGATTCTTTCTTCAATTTTTTCAGTCCTCCTGAAGGTAAAATCTGTTTATTTACTATACTTGTATGTTGATTATTGGCTATAAGAACCCCTAAAGTCAGATACAAAAGAACTGATCAATAACAGCAACAGTAAAGTAATTGTATCAGCCAGGTGCAAGGTTAAATAATCAAAACCTGGTGAACTAAGAATGTATTGAGGCCATCCTTCAGGTAGGATGACTTCAAACTATTTAGGACTTTTATAGGTAATTACCACTGTAAATCATGAAAATAATTAGAAGCTAGCACAATTTCTGTAATTATATTCTTGAAATGGAACCTTGTCAGTATCTTAGCCACTGCATTTTGCTGTAGCTGCACCTTTGAAACACATTCTAAGGACATTCTACACGGAGTGCCTTGCAGTAATCCTACTTGCATGCGACCAAGACATATGTAACTGCAGCTAGATGTGAATTTCTTTTTAGAGGAATGGTGCAGTCAGTGCATAAGTCACTGCTAGGCACAGGAATAATTTGCACTTTTAGGAACAAAGCTGGGTCAAGTAGAGCTCCCAAACTATAAACTATCATTCAAGAAGAATGCATGCCCATAAACGTAAGTGTATTCACAGATCAGGATGAGCACAGAAGGAAAGATGCAGAATGCTCAATATACCAGTCCCCTAGCCCATGGAACAGTGCACTGTTCCTAATACCTACAATAGAAATAAATGAGAAGGTGGGTGGGTGGGTTAGTCTGTAAATAAGGAGCGTGAGGATGCTAGGGAAATGGCAAAGCAGGATTTAGGAAGTGGTGCATAGGGAGACTTCAGTATATATGGCATAGAGTGGACCACAAGATGAAACAGATCTGAAGCATATTTGGAGAAATAAAAGGAAAATGAGCCCATGTGAGTATATATTCTGTATTCTGACATAATGGGATTGCAAATAATCTCCCTTCCTTGGAAATGCTACAGAAATCACAGCGTACCTTCTGGTTTATAGGCTTTTGCTTAGTAGCAAACATTGATTTGAGAATGGAGAACTTAGGAACAAGACTTCTCCTTAGACCCTTGCTTCCCAGTACAGTACAGTTTTACTCTCTACGCATACAACACAACTGGTCCATCTTGGGCAAATATGTTAATGTGCAGGTTCAATTGGAAGTGAGAAAGAGAAAGCAGGCAGAATGGGAGCAAGACCACCTGCTCTGGAAGTCCATTTATGGCACCAAAGTTGAGAAGGGTGAATGCTAGGAAAGAGCAAGCTAAGAGGCTAATAAGCCCTGAGCAGTTTTGAGAGCTGTGTGACATTCTGTCCATGTAAAGCCCCACAGGGGAGGAACACTGAAAGAATTTACTGAGGGTGTGAATAAGGGGAGACTTGAACATCAGAATGAAGAGTTAAAAAAAAAAAACCCCTCCAACCTTCAGTAGCTTTTCAGTTGGGCTTAGGCTGAGATAGAACAGAACAATCAATATCTTGACTCTGGAAGAAAGTTTCTGGCTATGGTTCTGGCTACTTGACTGACTTAAAGTAAGCTAGCAGAATGTTAAAAAGGCCATACATGCATGAGACAGAGGTGTACAGAACAAATGTTTCTGTATGTTCCAAGGATTCTTGGTGTGGGTATGCTTGGGGTTTTGGCAGTATTCTGCCAAAGGTCTGAAATGGCCAGTTTACAGGTACTGTCATGGTTCATGGGGTAGAGTAGTGATTTTGGTGGTTGGGTATGTATTTGTATGTATCAGGAGTTTGAAGAATTCAGTTTCTTTTAATTTTAACATTTCTCATTAGGTAGTAACCCCCTGCTACAATCTCGACCTCATATTTCTGGATGCTTCTTGCTCTTTGTGCGTCTTACCAACCAAAAATCTAACATGTGAACCTACATGGATTCATTATACTTGAGCTTTTCTGTAACACTGTATTCCTAGCAGTTGTAACCCTGAATTTATTGACCTCCTGTCCAGTCAGTAATTGCTCCAGAAAATGGTTCAAGCATTCCTAACCCTAACCCCACTGGCAAAACAAAAGAAGAAAGTGAGAGCAAGCTGGGTGCTTGATCTTTTGTTGCTGTTGTTGTAGCAGTAAAATCTTAATACTTCTTCCTTAAAAGTATATAATCATGCATCTTAACTTCTTCCTTACAGTTCCAGAAAGTGGAGACTTGGTAAGCCTTTTCGTTATATTTTCCTAATGAGAAGAGTAACGCAGGACATTTTAAATTCGGGATGTTAGCAATTAAAGTAGCAAAACACATATTTTATCAGTGATAAAACAAGCAACATAAAATGTTCTTCCTTATGGGTATTAAATTCTCTAACTTGCCCAAAAGAGCCAGGGGGACTCATCTAGATTTTTTTCCAGATATTCTTCTATGGATAGGAGCTTCTGATCAGAGAAGTTGCTCCTGAGTAGTTTGTTTTTGCTTGCTACACACATGAGCACATGCAGACTACAGAGGCCACAGTGAATGAAAATTAAAATGAACCTATTTCACATACATGTTCAGATCATGTTACACATTGGCAAGTTAGTTATTTTTATGTTGGTGGCTCTCTCTAACTAAAAAATAAGTAAATTGTAGAGAAGTATTTAAGTGCTTGTCAAGGGGTGGGGGTGATGATGATAGCTGTTAATTTTATTTCTTTACCACCCAATAGCTGAAGCACTCTGGGCAGATTACAACATTGCATAAAATACAGTAACTATGATCTAAAATACAGATTTCAAAGTCATATTTATATATGATTTTTATAAAATCATAAAAAGTATAGTATCTAATTTAAAACCCTATTTTAAGGGTTTAGCTTACACACATTAAATAGCAAGGTCCATTAAGCAGCTGATATGATGTCCTGATATTTTATTACAGCTAATTAAATGCCCTAACATAGAGGACGGTTTTAACTGAGCACGGGAAAGTTCAAGTTGGTGCTAGGTGGTTCTCAGTGGGAAGCTTGTTCCTTAACTTGGGGGGTCACCACTGAGAAAATAATAGCTGGTAGGTCATCACTGGCTTAAGTGGCTGCCAATTCTGTTGGTGAAGCTCCAAGATAACTGGCATTTCTGAAGAATAAAAGTGGAAAAAAGACAGATGAGTTAAATATAAGGCAATAACATTTTTAGTCATTTTGAGTTTATATTACATGAATTTAAATAATATTTAAAGATATCAGACCAAAATTAAATGTATTATTTCTAGCACCTAAACTTCAGAATTCGGCACTTGTTGGGAAGGTAGAAAGAGATTATTTATTTAGTCATATTTTATAATGACTTAATTTTTCAATCATATGCACAGACTAATTAGGAAAACCTGGCATTATCAATAAATGATATGAGCATTTTGTATTATGTTTATTAAATGCAAATTCATGGAGCTGTGAATTAATATATTTGTGCAGGATGATGATGCTGAAGCCATTCTTGCAGCTGATTTTGAAATTGGTCACTTTTTACGAGAGCGCATAGTTCCTCGATCGGTATTGTATTTCACAGGAGAAGCCATTGAAGATGATGATGATGTAAGTGATGCTTCTTTCAGCTGTGTCTAAGTGTTCTTGAATAGTAGTGTAGCTGTATCTTAAATTAAGCCATGATTCTTGCAAAATATCTCACTACGTATAATTGAACACTACACAACCAAGTGCATGTGACAATACATGGGTTACATGGAATACAGCAAGCTAGAATGAATTCGAGACTCAGTTATCTTCAGCATATTTCCTCAAGAGCTGACTTTTGCAACCATGTTTAGAGTGTTTTGCCTTCCTGTTCAGCAGGGATGGTGATCAGACAAGAAAGAGTTTTAGTGTCGTAGAATGCAAATTTCAGTCCAGGCAGGTATCACTTATTAGTAGACATAGTAAATAAGGAGTTTTGAATAAAAGCACAGTAAGAATTGAAGGGATAAAACCACTTAATGGGTTCTCTAGTAACCTATGTTAAGATTGGACCAAATACTTCCTACTTTTGCAGGGCTGTTGGTTCCATGAAAAGGTGGGTATAAAGGGGGTGGGGGTAGATTTGAAGAATTTTCAGTTGCTGGGTGGGCTTAATTTAGAAAATGTATCTAAGTAAAAATGATCCTTTGTTACATTGTTATTAAAGTAAGTCCATTCCCACCTGCCATTCTTAGAGATGCCTGTCCTGAAAAATCTAAACTTGGGGGAATGGTTTTGGCTAAACCCCTAAAAGGCTTAGGCAGATCTTTCAGTCCTTTGCTACTTACTTGGATTTCAGGTTAACGATTTTGGGGTGGCGGGTGACAGCAACTTATTAAAAACTATTATTCCTAGGTATTTAAAAAGAACCCCCAAAACAAACAACCCCACCAAATTTGAGAAGCCAACATTTTAAAATACCAAAAGCTGTATTGAAACTATTTTGTGTTAGTTTTTCAGTGAGATACTATGTTTTGTTGTTATTACTTAAAAGTTAATGTCACTCTAGTTTACCTCAAACAAAAAATTTTTCCAAGTTGTCTTTGTCTAGCGGCTTAGGCAGATAGAGTAGCTGTCCTCATGCCATCTGAACTTAGATGTATAGTGATTCATGATAGGGACCTTCTGTGCTGGAACTCTTCTCCCAGGAAGCTCCCCAAGTACAATCTGCTGAAAAAAGTTTTTATTCAGCCTGCTTTTGGCACACGCATACAAGATCTTTACTGATGCCTTTATCTGTTTTTTTTTCTGCTGTCTTCCACTATTGTGTTTGCATTTATGATTCTTATAAAAATATTTTTAGAGAAACCACTTTGTCTTAAGATGTTTAAGACCGTCTTAAGAGCAATATTGGCATAAAAATAAATGAACCTTTATTTGTCCCAGACTATTTTATTTGCAGCATTCTAAGTACTTTAATCTTTGAGTTATTTGCTTTAGTTGCATATATCATATTCAAATTAAAGTCCAGTTTTATTAAATCACTACAATATAGTGTTGATACAATTCTTTTAAAAGTAGAAGGGTTTTATTGCCTTAAAAGTAGGACTAAACCAGTCTTTGATAATAGCAAGAATTGGAAGGAGAAATGGGATCTCCAATCAATTGAATAGTATAAAGAAGTTTGGAATATAGTGGTTAATGACAAGTTTACATATAAGATAAAGGTGTGAAAAAGGGATTGAGAAAGAAGAATAATTTTAACAATATATGGGGTTTGTTGGAATATGTGAATATTGATCCTATTCTTCATCTTTACATATCCTTCAATCTTTTTCAAAACTAGTCTTAATAGAAAATATGTGCCAGAGACAATAATTCCTGTCTAAACTAGTTAGCTACAAATCTAAATTTTGGCATTGGAGCACATTGCATGTTTATTAAAAACTTAAGACCCACCTAAATTCATATAAGGATTTCTGTCAAGTAAGTCTTCAAAGAATTGAGGATGACTTGGGGTTTTATAACAGAGCTTTAAAAGCTACCATACTTTGCAAAATGGATTTTGTGTGGTTTAAGATTGACATTGGATGTTTGGAGACAGCTACAAGCCAAAGGCTTCAATTTTTAGAGTGTGATCTTGATGCTATTGTATGACTGACTCTTCTTCCCTGCCCTCTGTGTTTTCAGTATGATGAAGAGGGTGAGGAAGCCGATGATGAGGTAAGTTTCATGGTAGGGCAGAAACATAGACATATGCTTGGTTTTCAGTTTGCAGTTAACTGGTTCCAATGCTTAATATAAAGCATGTGGGCACCACAAAAAATACTGACATGCTGGTTTACTTTCAACTTTGGTATGCATTATACAAAATACACTTTTGTGTTTCAGGAAGGGGAAGAAGAAGCAGATGAAGAAAATGATCCAGATTATGACCCGAAGGTAAGTTATCAGTATTTATGTTCTTTGATAATGGCTTTGGGGAAATGACTGTAATGTGCAGGGTCCTGTAGCTCACCTGTAGACTTCATACTGATGTGTCCCTTTTTTCTCTTCAACAGAAGGATCCAAACCCAGCAGAGTGCAAGCAGCAGTGAAGCAGTGTGTATGTGGCCTTGAGGATTAACTGCACTGTTATAGCCTGTACACAACTATTAGTTACTTACAGCCTTATGTTTTGTATCTTGGTAGAATTAAGTAAACATTTTGTTAAAACAAACTGACAGAACCCGTTTAAAATGTAGGTTCCTTGTACCTAGCATTTTAATAGTACTTTTCTGCCAATATGTAGAATGCAGTAAATCCTGAAAGCATGAATAGTTAATTCATTGCTATATATAGTTTGGTTCTTGTGAAGTCTGTTGTCATGTAGCTATTAGACTGCAGCTGTGAAGATACCTGACTGTTGACGGAGACCACTATTTGTTTAGAAAAGATCCTTTCCTGAAGAACCAACCAAAGTATTTTTCAGCCCAGTAGTTTAAATGGGTTTAAGTCTGCTTGCACTAGCTGTGCCTTCATTACTTCGTTATAGAAATGACAGTGACTCATACTAATTAGAAGATGACATACATTTTTGAATTTGACTACATCCATATAATCTGTTAATTTCCATCAAGACCACACTGAACGTTCATAACTGTCTGCTTGTTTATGCTCTAGGTTTTTGTACTTTGTGATGGTGACCTAAAGAAAAACTAGAGACATCATATTAAGGTTGTTTATCACTGGGGTGTGAATAAACCTAGTATTTTCAGAAATTAGTTGTGTACTTGTGTAAACAGATTTTTCCTGTAAAATCTCTTATAAACAGCAAACATAATTAATGTGGGAAGCAGTTGCTGAACAAGGAGCCAGTGCATCAGCAATATCAAAAGAAGCTGCACTGAAATGCCTCCAGTGACTCCACCATCCTTGCACCAGTTCATTTCAGTAAGCCTTGCTTAAATAACTTCAGGGGACTTTGCTCAGATTTATATCACGCCTCTGCTACTACCAGCTTTTCTGCCTAGGTATTTCGACAAGGATATAATGATTCATTAAATTATTGATTCAAGTAACTTTTAACTTACTTTTAAGAACAGGAGTGGAGAACCTGTGGCCCTCCAGGTGTTAGACCATAACAGCCATCATTCCTGACCAGTGGCAGTGCTGATGGGAACTGATGTCCAACAACAGCTGGGGGCCACAGTTCCCCATCTCTGTTGTAAGGTGATGCTGCTGCTAACAACATTCTCAGATTATTGTGAGGATAATTTCTTGTCCTTTCAGAACCTTCACCTTTACTTCTTAGAACAAGGCATTATAAGAACAAAGGCATCGAACACACAGTAGGGGTACATAAGATTTTCCTTTAAACCATTGGTCTGTTTAGCTTAGTATTATGGACACTGATTTTTCCAGCTGTACCTGTACGTGCCAGGACTTGACCCTGGGTCTTCCTGAATGCCAACCATGTGTCCTAGCACTAAGTCTAAGCTCTTCCCAATATTCAGTTGCTCCTTAAAAAGAGAGGTAATTAATGTGGCCTTGCTATTTGCATAGTTGTTAAATGCTGCTCAATTCAACTGCATACCAGAGCAGAAGCAATTGTTTCTACTTTTAACCAGATACAGGCAAATATAGGCAAATAACTGACTGATCTCTAGAGAACATCCAGTCTGAAGCTAAGACATGCAAAGTACTAAAAATAAGTATGTAATGTATGATGGGCAGTGTAACAAAAAATAAATCCTGTCATATGTAAAAGACATTCTCAATTCATGGAATGAAAGAAATTGTCCAATCTTTTTCTAGGAATGGAGTCAAAGCAGGCTATGCCTAGGTTGAATAGATAAAGTCAAGGAAGGATACATACTAGTTTTCAGCCTGAGAAATGTTCCACATCTGCAAACAGTTTGCAGGTCACTTAGCAGGGCTTGATTTGAAGATGAGCATTATATTAACCGAAGCATGCTATAGCTGCCTCATAGTGGGATGGTTTTTGAAATAGTAAATAATAGTAATTGAATAGTAACATCACTGTAATAGTAATGCTGGGATGAGCACAGTGATACAGAATGAATTGCTGTGATCCAAAGGACAATGCATTGTTTCAAGTGAATACTTTAGGGATGTGAAATCCCTTGTGCTGTTGCAGCCCCAGTGCCACCCAAAAAGTTGATTCTGAAAGCAAAGATAACCCTTTAGCATAGTAGTGGATAGTGCTTGAGGAGCTGCGATTGGAAGGGCTTGAAACAGAAGATGCTTAGTTCATGACTGCTGTTTTTATACACCAGTGTCGCCAATATCCAGAAGAGCAAGCTCTGTTTGACCATTAAGGAAATGGATGTCTCTTTATGCTGATTTGCACGAGGAACAGCAAACATAATCTTAACTAAAGTAGCAGATTGTTGATTTTTTTGTGTCTCACATTAGAAAAGATTTGATTTTTGCCCTGTGAATAAATCTACTCTTGATAAAAGAGTTCTGCTTTATAAAATACGCTCCTTAGACATCCTTCAAGGCCATAGTTTTCCAAAGCAGCCTCCAATACAAGATGTACAAATCTGTGTCAGTAACAAATGGATAAAATATATTTTTAAAAAGGAACCAAGTAGGGGAAAGCTGTATATATCATTTAAAAGTTTTTGATGAAAAGTTAAAGAAACCAATAGTTTTTTTAAGCTTCTTAGCAACAGTCACTTTCCTGCCCTCTTTTCTCTTTAAGTCATCTGCCAGGGCAGTCAAGGGTATTTTTGTCCCAAAACGGTTGGAATGGATTCCATTAATCCTGGATCTGAAAAGCAGCCACTCGTTCCAGAACTTTGCTCAATTAAAAGGGATTATACAGTACGGCAATTATTACACACTATAAGGAATAAATAATGGCCTTTTTTGGAAAGGACTAACTCTAAAAGAGTAGACTCAGTTCTGCCCCTTCAAAGAAGCATCTGTCGCTTCTGAGTTTCAATTCCCACCTCTGCCCTAGAAAAAGCCAAAATCAGTAAGGGTCCAGAATACAGATGACAGGCCCCAATCCATGCAAGAAGCTTCCTTAGGTCCTCAGGTTGTGCGAGAGGAAAAGCTTCCATTAAAGGCAAGGTGGTGACCTAGCTACATCTGACTCAACTTTGTGATGCTGAAATTGGGAAAAATGCAACAGACCTTACTCATAAAATGTGATGCAAATTGGTTATCGTGAATCTACTTGGTTCCATTATCTGCATGCCTCTTGCTGTACAAAATCACTCTGCTGGAAAGTCTCACCCATGTTCAGTTGTATTTGTTACATTGCTATTTCATGTCCTTCAATTTTCAGAATACCAACATACATGATTTGGTTAAGGATTTTTAGGATTAATTGTATCAGGGGGCCAGATTATCTCCTAATTCCAAGCAGTCGCTGTAGCCTTGGCACAACTGCCTTCTGAAACTACAGGGAACTCACCCACAAAGCTTAGAAAATTCAGGAAACATAATTCTTTGAAGGTGGATCATACAAACTAGTGCCACCATTCTATAGAAATTGTAGGTAGTCTGAAAGTCCAAGCGGCTCTGATTGCTAATACATCTACAATAATGGAGTTATAACTGGCTATTAAACCCACAGATTATTTTCTCCCCTTTGCATTATAGAACAGCAGGTGTGCTGAGCTTGACATAATTTAAGTTCCATGATGGACATAGAATCATGAAATCAAGTTTTCCCAGACAAGGGTGGTATCAACATGGGTATAGTAGTGTTGAAGTGGTCCTTCATGGTCTCTGTGCATCACACACAAGGTCTTCAGTGTCTGCACAAGGAGATTAGGAAAGCATGCCAGAGTGGGCAGGAGCCCATCCCCTTCTGGTTCCCAGATATATAGCAGAGGGGTTCCTGCCCAGTCCCTCAGTTCCTTTTCAACCACCACTACATAGATACGGAAATCCTTTGCTGCTGCCAAGTACCTTACCAGTAATTCCTTATTTCTCCTTGCCTTCCCCTTTCATGCCTTCTCTCACTACAGTCACTCTGTTCCATTAAAGAAAAATAGACTCTTTAACAAAAATACATTCTTCCTACACAGCTTTCCTGTTAGCCCACCTTCCCCCTTTCCACCTTTCCATCCATGTGATAGTGTCCATGGCTTTTCATAGTTGCGCCTCATGTGAAGCTCATTTGCTGTCATCAGCCTTGGAGTCCTTGACACCATCTCTGTAACACCGTCTGTTAGCTTGGTGATGTACCAATGAAATCCATCCTGTTGTCTATTCTCAATACTGGGTCGTGTCTACTATACTCAATACAACTGTTGGACATTGTACCTGATCAAAGCAGGAATTCCTATGGTTCAGGTCCAAAGCAACAGATTCTAGTTAGAGCTTCCACTCTAGTCTTTAAAAAAACTTTACGAGAAGTTTGCCAATTCAGTTCTTTTCCATGCACTTAGCATTCCTCAAGACTCCATTCTTTCTCTGTATATCAGAGCTACAATGTTCTCTGCATATTTTAAATAGCTACATTTTTCTGCAAGCAGAAATTTGTAGAAAGGATTAAAATGTGGGAAGTTGGGCAATTAAGAGTCCTAACACTATTTTAATAATAATTTCATATTTGAGCTGCTTCTCAACCAATTCATTTGCTGCATATTATTCAGTATGGCAACTTAGGTCTTTAATGTGTAAAAACTTTTTTAAAAGTTCACACACAGCAATTGCATATTTGGCCACTAAGCTGGCAGAATATAACCAGCTTTGGATGTAGGATGACTGAATTGAAAGTAAAATTGAATTGAAAGCTTATTTATATGTGTACTTGAAGCAGGGGCTTGTGCATACAAAAAGAAACACAAGAAATGGATGTGAGCTCACATTTCTCAAATGTCTAGACCAGCTTTCCCCAAGCTGACGTTCTCCAGATATGTTGGACTACAACTCCCAAACAACTTGGAGAAGGCTAATCTAAGTTGGAAATGAATGAGTTTTGACTTTCAAAATGATCACTGAACATCAACTTGTATAATGAGCCACGGGGTTTACCTGTTGATATTGTTCAATTTGAATTAATCTGTCCAAGTATCAAATAATACATTTGTAATACAAATATTACAGCAATAGCTTGGGAAAGTGAGAAATATCCCTTTCAACATTAATGTCAGAATAACATCAAGCTCTTGAAAATAGTTTTATATGTGATTACACCTGGATTGTGTCAGTTACGATTGTACAGAGAAATTCAGTTGGGACCCCCTTTACAGGGAGTATGGGGGAAAAAAGGTTTAATTTATTCTGTTACGGAAAATCTTTGGTTCTGTTACAGTATTTAGGTATCAGGGAGCTTGCTATGTTTCTGTAGGAGCAAAAAGTACTAAATCTTGTGCTGCTTTGCAGATAACATACTGGCATTTGGTCCAATGCCTGAATTATCTGGGCACATTGAATGCAGTGTTTTGGCTAAAGAAAGCAAGGCAGAGTAAAAGACATGCCATGTTATTATGGAGAGCACAAATGAACACAAGATTTACTTGGACACAAGAGGGCATCTGTGTGCTATTACAGTACTGAATGCTGTATCAGCTGTACAGTCTGCTTGTTTCTATATGATACCATGAAGGTGCAAATACAACTTGTAAAACTGCAGTACTCTTTAAGTGTGCTTGTGGAACACTGGATCACAGTGTAATTGCACTGCTTGGGTGTATGAATATGTAGAAATGTTTACACTTATGAGAAATCACTGTCTAAACATTCTTCAGATTTCTGTGGTTTGTTGCATATTAAAATGGCATCAAAAGTTCTGTTTATCTGAATAGGACTGGGGCAAGTATCTTACTGGAGTAGAGTTAGAAGAGGGCTGTCCCCAGACGGAAAACTTCATCAGACCAGCACAATGTAATGCCTGCAGCCACCTCTCTGCTTCCCAGGAGAATTCTAAAGGAGATCTGGGATGGCAGAACACTTGGGTAGCTACATCTCCATTGCTCCCTCACGCATTCAGAAATGCACAGTGGAGCTGAGGTCCAATTTTGACACTCCACTGAGTACTGCCTGCTATCATTGCTGAACTTTCCAAGGAGTAGTAAAAGTAATGGGAGGGTGGACAAAACAAAAATAGAAACTAGTGAAAGATGAGTAGAAAAGAACATGAAGTTCTATAGACTTGGGGGAGTGGGTAGCTGAAAGAACTTAATTTGTGGGAGAACTGAGATGTGCAGAAAGAAAAACACTGAATGTCTTGCTGCTCTTCATTTGTTTATTTTTAACCCACTGAATTGGAACTGTTAAAAGCTTTCCTCTGTTTAACCCAGTAATGTGGGTTTGTGAGCTAGTTATAAAGTGGCCCTCATATTTGTGTTACACATTCAGTTATGTTAGTGGGAAATCCTTCCAGTACATAGACTTTAAAGAGGGTTAATGGCTTCTACAAGTATCACTAACCAGTTAGAGCAAAAGTGTATGTTGTACTTTCCTTCCATATATATCTCCCAACTCTTTAAGCAAGGTTATTTATAGAGAGGCTTCAGGAAGGATGAATTGTGTTCAGGATGCTTTGATTTCTATCTCAGCTGCTCTATTCACAAGGATAGATCTGCACACTCTTACTGTTACCAGGAGATACTTGGGTGTAAACCATTGTTTTCAATCAATATTTAATAAATCATAGCCTTTATCTTTGATTTCTTACCTCTTTTTTCTCCCTTTGTCACAATGTAAAATGTAGCTTAAAACACAACTTTATTAATTTTATTTATTAGAATTTTATCCCTCTCCATTAGGCATAAGGCTGCCTGAGTTGGGTTACAGTTTAAACGTATAGAGTAAAATGAAAATATAAGATACAAATGTAAAAATAAAATCTAACAATCTAAGAAGTAAAACCACGCCATTATAAAACTCTACAGAACCATACATCAGCATGAAAGGCACAACAAGTTACAATCAAGTATTAAATATTAAATCATTAATTCTAGCAGTTAAAATACCAGGAAAGTAAAAAGATCTTCGCCTGTCACCAAACAAGCAAACAGGAAGTGAACCTCCCTGGTGAGCTGATTCTAAAGTCAGGGTGCCACTGCTGAGAAAGTCCTTGTAGCCACTCTCATTTTCTGAAGAGGGGACACTTTGAGAAGGGCTTGTGATTCCCTAAGGGGCTGGGTAGACACTTGTGGGAAGAGGTGCTCCTTTAGAGACCCTGGCCTCAAGCTGTTTATGGCTTTAAACACAAGATCTCTGTCATCTTCACTGCCACGGCATAGGCTCAATAATGAGTTCTGCGTTTGGTCAGATTTATCATGAGTTTTTCTCCATCTGTGCTGTAACCATCTATCCAGTTTCATTGTCCTCACCTCTGGTTTATACCAAGGCGCTGAATGGGCTCCTCATAGGGGATGAGGGCACTTGGGTGTGATTGTGTCCACTGCCCAGCCCTCTCCATATTTCATAGAGTAACCTGAGCTTCAACAGGAGCACCAGCCATATCAGTTGGAAACACCCCCAGAGCCCTTTGGAAAACATCCAGACCCAGAAGTCTCTGAGGTGGAACATCCTAATAGGTCTCCCACCTTGCAGAGGGGGGAAAGATGTCAAAAGACTAATCCTCAGAGGGAATTGATCTGACCATGACAAAGAGCTTAATGTTACCCCCCCCCCCCCACACACACACACTCCCAAATCACCATCTTCCTGTCTGGTTGAGAACCAGATCTAGAGTGTGACCTTTAATATGCATTGGGCCGATAACATTGTCATGGCAGCCATGAGGTCCTGAGCCCCCTGGATAAAGTAGCCTTGGCATGGAGATTGAGGTCCCCCAGAACCACCTCTGCTTTATAATGCTGCCAGTGAACTTCATTCCTCCAGCTCTACTACCCAAACTTCTCCTTTAACAACTATGCCCTGTCTTGCATGTAACTACAACTCCAGTTGGAGTTCACACCCCAACACTAAAGCATGAATCCTCTTACTGGGTTGTTCATGGCTAATAACCCATATGGAGTGTAAGGGGCAAGATATGTGGTGATCTGTCATTGGTTCCCTGGCAATTGTTTTTAATGAACTGAAATGCATCCTTGACTGCAAATTGGCTTTCAGTGTTACTGCACAAGGGAGTATGTATAGCCAATTTCCCACGCTTTGAAATGTCAAACAGCAGTTTCCGATAGTTAACAAAGCACTTCCAAGGGGGAAGATGGACCTTTAGGTACCCAGGGCCCAAGTTGTATAGAGGTCTAAAGATGAGAACCAAATGCTTAGGCTTAGGCTGGGCAATGACTTCAGTAACCAACACAGATCAAATTGTGCTGGGGTGAAATAGTCAAATTACTTAAGACGGCTGTGTTTTCTATTAAATTAAATCATGCTAAAGAGTGCATTAGAGTGAGTACATTTGTGTTTTATTGTCTCAACTGGATTTTATGTGAAAGCAGGCTAACAGCAGCCCCTGTGGTTCCCAAGCCAGACAACCTGGGATTAAGTCCACCAAACACTATTGCATAGTGGTGCGCTTCTCTGCAAACATGGACGAGATCAGCTTGTATGGTACACAACGGCATCACTTACCAGCCAATGTATATACAATCACATTACAAAATGTATTAGAAACACACACACACCGGGTTCAGTATTGTGTGAAAATACTAGTTTTTGAAGGTGAATCCTGCAGCGACCACACAGAAATGCTCAGACATTTAGTAGCTTGTTTCTGTTTTCTACTCCGTTTGAGTGTCTTTCACACATGCATACAAGTCAATGTCCCGAGGATTTTTTTTTTCCTTTGAACAGAACGAACGATCGCATTGCAGAGGGTCTCCGACTTTCTCGCAGTAAACTCCGAGGCTCATTATGTCACCTTAAAAACTCCCAAATGTATTTCTTTCCTTGTGTCAGAAGTTGGGCGTACAGGGGGCTCTGTGCGCAGGGCGGGCTTTCCCGTCTATCGTCAGCGGCCGTGGGCGGCACATTCCGGAGGGGGCGCCAAATCTCCGTCCTGCCTTCCTCGGTATTTAAATAAAAAGTGATCTTCCCCCAGCCTAGGGAAGGGCGGAGGAGGCAGACTCCGCGTTGAGTTTGAGGAGTGCAAACGGCCAGCACTGGAGAAGCGCTTTGTTCTTTGGCGCTGTTGCAGTTCGAAGGAAGCGACGCAGGCCTCCGGTGGGAGAAGCGGAGGCAAGCGAGCAAGGCGGAGGTGCGAGCCTCGAGCAAGACCGCGGCGGGGCCAGCTTCCTTGGCAGGCGCCTCCTGCCCCTAAGCCCGGGTGACAAGCAAGCGGGACGGAGGCAGCTTACTTAAGTGCGGCGGAGAAAGCCGGGCGTGCTGCCACCCAAGCGCCAGCAGTCGCCGCGGGCGGTGGAGGAGGCGAGCGCTGCCGCCACGCGCGTGGGGACCGCGGCTGCCCGAGCGCCCGCCGTCCGGGCTCGACGCCTCCGGCGCCCGCTCCTCTCCTCCTCCCGCACCGTCTTGCTGGAACTTTCTCAGCGGCGCCGCTCGGGAGGATGCTGGAGAGCGGCTGCAAGCCGGTGAAGGAGGGCGTGCTGGAGAAGCGTAGCGACGGCTTGCTGCAGCTGTGGAAGAAGAAGCGCTGTATCCTCACCGAGGAAGGGCTCCTGCTTATCCCGCCCAAGCAGCAGCAGCAGGAGCCGGCGGCGGCGGCGGCCGCGTCTCCTCTCCCTCCGCCTCCCCCGGGCATGGAGGCGGCGGCCAAGATCAAGGAGCTGCCCTTCTCCACCATGAAGACGGTGGACTGCGTGGAGCGCAAGGGCAAGTACGTGTATTTCACGGTGGTGATGGCCGAGGGCAAGGAGATCGACTTTCGGTGCCCGCAGGAGCAGGGCTGGAACGCCGAGATCACGCTGCAGCTGGTGCAGTACAAGAACCGCCAGGCCATCCTGGCCGTCAAGTCCACCCGGCAGAAGCAGCAGCACCTCGTCCAGCAGCACCAGCACGGGCCCCGCCTCCGCAGCGCCTCCAACTCCGCCTAGCCGGGGCGCCAGTGCAGGTACGCTCCGCGGCCGCTCCGAGCCGCTGCCCGCGGGAGGCCCCGGGGCGCCACAGGGGCAGCACCGGCGGCTAAGCAGGAGGTCGGGTGTCGGCGCACGCCGGCTCCCGTCTCCAGCCTGCCCCCCGTGCCGCCTTCGCAGACCGACCGCTTCGCCCGGGAGTGGCCTGCTAACCCGTTTACAAATGTCGACCGGGCAAAATGCAGCGGCCGCTTGCAAAGTACGTTTTCCCCCGGGCAGGCGCCTTTGTGTGCAGCGGCCGGCCACGTTCACGCGGATTCCCCCCTTTCACACGGAGCGTCGTTCCGTGTGCGGCGAACACAGGGCTAGCCTCCGTGTCACCCGCACGTGTGTGTTTCATGGCATGGGCGCCGCGTGTCTCTGAAAGTGTGCGTGGAAGGGGTGGCCGAGATGCCGGTCACAGGGGTTTGGTGCCTACCCCGCACGGTCATCTTTTCCGGGCGGTTAAGAGGAACGTCGGAACTGAAGCAGCACTCATGCAAGTCCATCTTTTATCCTTGACCCTACCTGCTGAGCTGGCCTCCGTCTCGGGGCACTTTGCGCTCTGCTTCTTGTGACTGGGGAGCGGAGGGGGAGAGAAGACCATGGCCTGTTGGTGTCTCTCAGCGAAGGTGCCTCCAGACGAGCGATGCTTTAATGCCCTCTCACTGCCTCCTCCATGGAATTGCAGGGGAGGGGTGCACGCCTTTGATCTGTCGCTCTTGAGTCTTTCCTAAATGTTTCCTCTGTTTTGATATGTATCAGAACGAAACAAAAAATAAAGGCAGAGGAGTGCACAGTGCTTTTTGTTTATTAGTGAAAGAAACCCATTTGGAAGCACTCTAATGGCTTAGTAAATTAATCTCTAAAAGACTCCAGCCATTAAGTCTGTGCATCCCCTTTTCTTTATGTACACTATTTCCAATCCATATTTGATTTCCAGGAAGCTCAGGGGCTAGGAATATTATTGCATTTATATTCTGCTTTCGTTCCTCATGCAAGGAACTCAGGGCAGTTTACATAGTCCGTTTCATGATATCCTTAGGCTGCGAGTAGGTTAGGCTGAGAGCGGCTGACCGGCCCAGAGTCACTCAGTAAGCTTCAAACCAAGTGGAGGCTAGAACTTGGATTTCCCGAGCCTCAGGCCAGTAAGTCTGATGGTTACAACATGCTGGCTCTGAGCCAGAAGGTCTAGGAACCGGCTTATTCACTGGTTTAACAAAACCTAACCAAATCAAACCATGAGCACTCTCAGCTGGATCTGTTGTCAGGTAGACAACTTGTGCATAATAGGTAGGACATTTTCCTTGATGACGATGCTGTTGCAAACATTAACAGTGCCAATCGTATCTGCACTTAGTTCACATGTTATAGTTGTCTTTTTCAAGCGTGTGACTTAGGATGGTGGATGCTGCTTGCATGTACTGTAAATGTGATGTGTGAATTGGCTCTGGCGTAAGCCAACTAATGAAATCTGGTGCAAGAACAGTGCCTAAGGTACTGATACCTTCAAGGATACTTTGCAAGAGGCATTGTCCTTCCCATTGTCACTGCTGGATTCAAGGGAGCAAATTGTAGGTCTGTCTTTGTAATTTGTAAAAGGGAAATGCTGCTAGATGATTGAGATGACTGTCCTGTGTTGTAGATGGAATTCAAGAGGCACTTCTGCAAGCAAAGTTGGATCCTGTTTCTGATGATCACAAACTTGGCAGAAAGAACAGAGGTACAAGAGAACATCCATTCAACCAGTGGGATCTTCCCAGTTTTGACACTGTTGATGATTGCACTGGGAAGGCATTTCAACTCTTGTAGATTTTGACTACTACTAATGAACTTTCGCAGGATTCTTTGATGTGCTGGGCCTCAAAGGACATACATTGTACTGCCATTTTTATTCTAAGCTGTTTTATTTTTACATTTATTTATTGGTGGGGTGGGGTTAAGGTTGTTTGCAAGGTGTTTCTGAATGTAGACCATCTAGCACAGAATAAAATATGGAGCATAATTGCATATTCACTAGTCCTGGTGGGAGGAAAAGCTGAAGAAAAGAAGAGGATGTTGACAAGAAATTTACCAGAATATGAACTTTCCAACTAGTTTTTGTATCATTTTTCATCTCAGCAATTGAAAGACTGTTACAAAAAGAATGTATGAAATATATCCCAATGTGTTAAGTGTTCATACCAAAATCCTAATTCGTAAGAGCCTCTTCTCAAAGGAAAGCAATGGCTTGGCCCTTGATTACCAGATGGTTTTGATTTTTATTATACATTCATCTGGAGAGTATTATATTTTGTATTCAGCAGTAAATTCATTAGGTTATGCCACTTCATATTTCTGCTTCATACACAGGCTGCAGGAATCTGACTTGATGGAGTCTCATGAAAATAGATACTTTAAAATACACTGATGCTACATTCTTCTTTGGTATGGTATTCAGATAGGAGAACCATGCTGATAACTGTTTGTTGCACTTTTTTTGTCTAAATGGAGACCCTTAGCATAATGTTTCTCAGAGACATCTTACTTGATTCTGCTCACATGATTCTGAAACCTTTTCATACTCTTAAATTGTTCTAAGGGTGTCTTAAAGTGTTGAACAGAGTAATTCACCCATAATTATCACAATTTGGTTTCCTGAATGATCCTTAGTGCAACATTTTCCATAGCTTCCTTCTGTAGTCAAAATCCAAATGTATACTTGGAACAACCATAAAGCATTTAAGAACTCTGTAAGAAAACAGATATTTCAGCCATGGAACACTACATTTTTGTTAGTTTCAAAAAGGAAAGTCAGCTCTTTCGTTTACATTCTTAAAATGCTATAAGTAAGGCTTCAGATAACATTGTCCTAGAGACAAAGCAGTTAATCCATTCTGGTATAAGGAATGAACTGTTATTTATTAACAGTTAATTAATTGCCTAATTTATTGTTAATTGGATAAGAAAAGATACAGAGATGTGCAAAACAAGTTCTGGTATTCAATTCATCTTTTATGTTGGAAGGATACCTTGTGTTTTCTTTCACTTCTTTTTCTTCCTATCTGCAACTAAGAGAACTCATTCTGCCCCTATTAACTCCAGATTGTATCTATTTTAGTGCACCTTGAGAGGATTGTTTGAATGTAACTGTGCATCCTAACCTTAACAAGTTATGAGTGATCTTCTCTCTTAAAATTTCAAGTGTAAATATAGACCTTATGAAGGCATGCGTAGAGCAAGGCTCGGCAAGGCTTGCATGCCCTGGTGCACCCCTTTTCCATATTAGGCAGGAAAGCCAGAAAGTTGCAGCTCATTCCTCAGTTGGGAACCCCAGTTACAAGGGACTTGCAACTGTTTAGCCAGATGTGGGGTGGGCAGACTGTGTTATGGCAGGACATGCTAAGCTCGGTGAACAAATGCCCACATTGAGGTTTTTAAATGCCTTTTTAGAGCCTACCTGGCTTCCTCCTCAGTCTTACCCAAATAGTGATAGCATAAAGACACCAGTATATTTGGAAACAGGGCTTACGTCAGCTCCCCACAGCCTGGTTCTCTCCTGGTACTTTCCAACAGAGGCTACCAAGGCTTGGAGTTGCAGCCCAACACATCTGGAGTATACAAGGCCAGGGAGGGCTGGCATACATGATGAGTTTTACCATTTTTCTTTCCTGCCCAAATCTGTGAGAACTCCCCACCTACCCCCACTACTCCTGCCATTTAATGTTCTGGAACAAGGATTTGGACCAAAATATTTAGTTCCATACTAAATATCTTGGAGGTGGCTCATTCTGTCCTAACTTCTTAGTGAACTGTAAAATGCTAAGCAAAAGCATGGAAGAAGTCTCAAATCATCCAATTTCCTTTACTTTTTATAAGGCAGCGGAAAACCTTGATGCCAGCTCATATCTTGTATCTGTGCGTGGAGATGAATGACATCCACTGAAATGCAAGGAACCTGCCTGTAAAATGCTAAGCAAAAGCATGGAAGAAGTCTCAAATCATCCAATTTCCTTTACTTTTTATAAGGCAGTGGAAAACCTTGATGCCAGCTCATATCTTGTATCTGTGCATGGAGATGAATGACATCCACTGAAATGCAAGGAACCTGCTATGCATATCTGGCTGTATTAAAAGCCCACAGATAAAACATGTAGGAAAAACTGTAGACAGTGTGAGGGAATTGTGCTTATCCTTTAACCTATCTAAAGGACAAATTTGCCATTCTTAATTCCTTTGCGGGGGGTGGGGAGTTATTTATGATATTTTAATTTGTACAATCAAGTGGTGTGTGGCTATTTTTCCCTTCACCTAGTCATCCTTGCTTCATTTTGTGTTACCTGTAGGACTTAAATTCCCACTGCAATCATTTAGAACAAGCCTCTGATGCTAGCAGATGTCTTCATAATATATTTGATTATTAAAATGAGTCATTGCTAGGCTGTTTCAGACTGACAGAGCAACAGGTTTAGGATTGCACCATTAGATTTATTTCATTAAATCAAATAGATTTACTTCCAAGTAAATCCTTGCTTTGGATTTGGTTGTAAATTCCATTTGAGATTTCATAAGCAGTGCAACCCTTGTGCATTATCACCTCCAGGGTACATGGACATAAATAATGTAGAATCAAGTAATGATTGCAGCTTATAAGAAGTCCCGGGTTAATTACACCTTTTATGAAATACTTATTCAGCAAAAAAAAGTCACATTTTTTTGACTGTCACAGAAATGGCTGCCATATGTATGAGCCAATTTCTTTGCAAGAAAGGACAAGAACTGAGTGAGAAACTTCAGGCTTGTAATGACTTAGGAACAATAGATGGTTTTGCATCTGTGCTTTCGGGTTTCTCTCCCACCAGCAAAGGGGCCATTCACCAGATCTGTACAGATGCAGTCAGAAACAATTACTATTTTACCAACATTAATTCATGTGATGTCCTCCGGTGCTTCCAGATGAGTCTTTTATTGCACCATCAAACTCCCTCATTCCTAGAATTTTACAAGGGATCCAGATGCCATTGTCTTTCACTTGTAACCCTCCGATGTTTTTCTAGCACTTCTTCCATCTTTTTCTTTAAACAAAATATTTGTATAAAAATACCATACAAAATAGCTACAGGATGTCAGTTGCTGGGGAACATTAGGAGCTGTCCATCTGGAAATAAGCCCAGTGAAAAGCAGCTATATGATGCTGTCCCCAGTGAATGAAAACTAACAGGTGTCCTGCTCTATATGTTTATTTCTCATGTGAGAAGGTATTCCTGTGTCAAAGGGGCGGGGGGGGGGGGGGAAGCCCTGTGTTTTCTCTGCAGTATTCTGGAAGTAACCCTTTACTGCCACTCCTATATAGCCAGAACACTGTGCCCTGTTTCTAAATTCATGGTTTGCAAATACCAGCTTTGGCAAGTGATGTACCAAATGTTTTCTGGCATATTGTGAGCTGGAACAAGTGTTATCTAATGTGTGTAAATATGATTCAGATAATTTCAGAAAGATGTGATTTATTTTTCAATATGCATTCCATTTCAAATAAAGAAGTACCTACTGAAATAGTTGGATGACATGGTATGAAACTGATGTCCATGAGGCACACTGAAATTGTGAAATCTTTAATGGACTGCTGTAAATCTCATTCACCTCCATGAAAAATCATTTTAATCAGTGCCAAGGAATTCACTCTGGTTTGAAGTCATGCTGCAGAGGAGAGCTTGATGTTTAAGAAAAATAATCAGTGGTCTTCACGAATGCTTCCAAAGAGAAATACTGATAATTATTTTAATTATAATATAATTATGATTTAATTATAATTAATCAGTATAAATACTGACAACTGGATGTTTTCAAGAAGGTCTTTTGAGATGAAAAGTTACATTAACAGTATTGTGCATGTTTGCCATTCTTCTTCCATAGAATCCGTGCTTTTCTGGGGAGAATGCTTTAAAAAAGTACAACCAAAGTAAAAGTACAAAGTAAAGCTGCATCTTTTCCTCGCTTTCCTAGCCCATTGAACTCAATGAGACTTTCTTCTGAATAGATATGTACAGGATCACACTGGAAAAAGAATACGCACAGCATTGTTTATAATGCAGCTGTATTTCAATTCTACAGTTACTTGGGAGTAAATCCCATTGAACTCGATAGGAACTCCATAAATTCAATGGAACTTATTTTTGAGTATATATGTATAGAATTGCACTGTTGAATTATTAATTTAAATAAGTTTGCAGACTGATGGTGACAGCTGATTATTGTGTAAAAGCACTTAATTTATACCTAGGCACTGTTCATCAATAAAAGTGCAGAATTTTTTAATTGAAATTAGTCTGACAAGTTACATCATGTATACCAAGATGTGTATTTGCAGCTGACCAGAGATAGATGATTTACCACCAACAAGCTATCAGTGACTCCAGAAAATTGTATGAACAGATCAGAACAGTTGTATGGAATTTTATTGGGCTCTTGCTTGAGCTAAATGGCTATGGACGTAGCTGAGCAAGTGATTTCAAGTTGAATCAAATATTTTGTGCTAACTTTTTAGTCAAGATTTCCAAAGAAATAGTATCACTTTAAGTCAGAACAAAATCCTATCGTTGCAGACTCTGAAGTCACTTTGCCAAATGCAGCTTGTGATGCACTCACAGAGCTGTTTGATTGCCACAATTTTGATTATAATCATATGCCTTTGTAAACAACAGTCAAAGATGTTGCTCTTGTAATAAGTTCAGGAGGCAGGAGGGGAATGACACGTTTAAGCAGAAGCATCCTTTTCAATGAAAAAGAATCTGTGCCACTTTAAGCCTTAGCAACAGTGCAATTTGTTGCAGTCTCATATAAATACCATGCAGTATATCTTAGACTTTTAAGAATTTGGAGGAAAGAAATGTCTGGTAATGTTCTGATCATTTCCCTGCTTGCTGGAGTTTACATGTTCACAGTATAAGGCCTTCCAGATTTATTTTGCGCCAACTAACTGCCTTGTATTGATCGAAGGCACGATTGATCTATAGCACTCATTGGGCATGCTTGTACATGAGTCAAAGTCTTCCTGCTTTAATTGGGTTTATAATGTGATATAAAACTTACAATGGCCAGAATACTTTAGTAATATTTAGAATACTAAATTACATTTTTCTCCACCTGATTGCCCACATGCAGATACAGATTGTGTGAAAATGGTGAAACCTAAAGGTCACATGAGCTAAAGGTCACATGAATGCATCTATCCTCCAGCACCCAGCAGCCTATATGGAAATATTTAAGGACAGCTGGATGCTGTCTAGAAAGCCACAGGTTAATTCAGAGTCCCAGCTCTGCCCTGAAGAAGTGCTTCAATGTTGAATTTGGGACTCTGAATTTGACGAGCTCTCCCTCCGCCCTCACAGCTGACACAATTCTTTTTGTGCTGTCTGTGGCTCTGAGGTCACAAGACTGACCTCGGATCCAGCACTTGGGGAGAATTCTGGCTGTTAGGGTGGGAAAGAATTAGCCACTGCCACCCTATGGGTTATCTTGGCAATGCCTCCAGCTCCACTCCTGTTTTATCTGAGTAAAGCACTTAGATGGCTGAAATCAGCTGTCCAAGTATTTTAGAGGATGGAAGGCGTGCCAAGGTATTCTTTCCACCCTCCACTAGAGGTCTATAATCCTCTGAGGAAAGAGTTATGGGCAGCCACATTGGATTGGAGCCCTTAGGTTGCAACCCCTTTGCACTCTTACCTGGGAATATGCAACATTGCACTCAACTCGCCTTACTTCCGAAAAAGCAAGTATAAGTCATCTCGAAGGGACAACGGGAGAGCCATCACAACAGTGAAAGCTAGCCGCTGCTTAGGTTCCCTGCCTTGGTGCCTGCCTGCCAATGGGGCTGTTTGGTGTTGAAGTCCAAAACATCTGATCGAGACCAGGTTGGGCAAGGCATGATGCACGGATGCTTCCCCACATCAGTGGGGGTCTGCATGACTCTTTGTGGGAGAATTTTCCTCACCACAGGCTGTCCTTCAGGTATGCATCAGACAGCAGAGTAATAGGGGCAGCTTGTGAGTTTCGCAGGACAGTTCATGTCCAAACCAGGATGGGAGCCCTCATATGTTCAATACCAAGCTCAGTATGAAGAGGTGGAATTTAGTCCTGTGGAGACTATGTGCCATCCTGCAAATAGCATGTAGCTATTGGGGTTCAATCCCATGCATGTTCAGACAGAAAAAACTCCCAGCTTTCCATGCTGGCGGAGGAATGCTGTAAGTTGTAGGACCTTTTTTCCATCAAAACATGCATAGGATTGTTCCAGTGGGCTGATTAAGTTAAGCATTCCCCAGCCTAGTGCCCTTTCAGATGTGTTTGGAGTTTCTATCCTCTGCTGCCAGACTGGTTGGGAATGATGGGACCTGTTGTCTGACAAATCTGAAAGGTACCAGGTTAGAGGAGGCTGATTTAGTTTCCAGTGAGGCACAGGAAATACTGTATGATATAAAACGTGTGTTTTGAAACATGGCCTTGTCTGCCTGAGCAAGGCGATTTCCTGCACAGCAGCATCTGGCACATGTTCCTCATCAACACACTCTGACCTCCATTTTAACAAGGAGATGAAATGCAAAAGGAATTGCTTAGTAACTCAGCAGTGAGAGGCATGCATGCTAGTCTGCTTGGATTATTGCATGGTAGTTCTGTATTTCCAACCCTCCAACTGCCCCCACCCCCAGGAGTAAATGAGTTGATTCAATAAGGCCAGTTGCTTTTCTGAAGTCAGGCTCAAAAATATGTGACCACTTCTTCATTAGCTCTCTCCCCCCACCCCCCCATGATCACTTTAATTAGTTCCATCAGCTTTGCTCTCTTTAGATCCCTTATTCTTTCAGCTGTCAAATGGCCCTGGTAGACAATTTGTAGTATCCAAGTCAAGATTTTGCTAATGTTGTGGCTGCCACTTGTTATTATCACAGACAGCTCACTTACAGTGTGCTCTTATAGGTACCTTCACAGAAGTAAGCCCCACTAAGGTGTATATAGGATTGCTGTAATCACACTAGCATGATATCAAGAGAAATTTCTAAAAGAGAACAGAACTATATCCAGCAATATAGTAGGTGTGAGCTTGGAACTTCTTAAAGCTAACAAGAGTTACTAATAAAATGTTTGATTGCTGAAACTCAGTTCTGTGAAAAGATGGACAGAGTAGTACAATGCCTCCTAGTCAGTGTCTAGGAGGCTCAAACAGTTTTCCCATTGCTGTAATCAATACCAGAGAACACTTCTGGCTGTAGTTCTTGGGATCTGCCCTTGAATTCTCCTTCCTGTCCTTGTAGCACTGGCTACAACTCCAAGGTTATAAGAGCAAATACGGGATTTAGAGGGAGGGAGGAGACTGGTGCCACCAAGGTGTGATGTATCCTGAAGGTGCCCCAGCCTCCTTTCATTCCCATCTGAGGCAGTTAGACAGCCAATGCTGGCCAGCTAACTCTTTTGCTTCCTGGCTAGGATACCTGCAATGCTCTGAGTTCGGAGGCCTATGGGCAGCCCGGCTGGGTGAGATGGGCCATCTCACTTCCTCAGGAAGTGAAGAATTGATGGGACAGGTTAACGCTTTCCCCATCAAGGAAACAAAACTAAGTTCTGTGGAACATTCACACAGTGAACCTATGAAATTTCCTTATGCTGTGTCAGACCACAGGTGCATTTAGTTCAGCACTGTCTGGGCTGCTTGAGGCTGATTTATCAGCTGTGGCCATATCTGGACAGACAGGACTGAGCAACTGGTATCCACACACTGGTAACCTTGTGCCTAGGCTACTGCAATGAGCAATGTACATGGGGCTCCCCTTGAAGATGGTCCAGAGACTTCTGCTAGTTCAGAATAGGGCAGCTAGACTGATAATGAGGACAGGCAGATATGATCATATAAATTGGTTACCAATTGAAGTCCAGGCCCAATTCAAGGTGGTAACTCTAGTGTTTAAAGCCCTAAATGGCTTGGGGCCAGGGTATCTAAAGGAGCATCTCTTCCCAAATGAATCTACCTGGCCCCTTAGATCTGCATCTCAGGATATAAAGAGGGTGGCTACAAGAAGAAGGGCCTTTTCAGCAGTGGCACCCCGATTTTGGAATGAGCTCCCCAGAGAGGTTCACCTGACACCATCTTTGCATTCTTTTCAGTGCCAGGTGAAGACTTTTATATTCTGCCGGTATTTTAATTGTTAAACTGGTTTTTAATGTTTTTTTTAACAGAAGGGGATATGTCATCTTTGAAATCTGGTGTTCTGGTGTGTGCACTTTTATTGTTTTATTGTCATTTTAACGTTTGAGCTGTTTTAATTGTTTTACACTGTTTTGTATGGTTTTCTGGTAATAAATAAATAAATATTCTCCCCAGAATTCCCCAGTTCTCCTGGGAGATGCTAAGAACTGAAACTGGGACCTTTCACATGCAAAACATGTGCTCCATCCCTGAGCCGTGGCCCTGTGCTTGTTCTGGCACATGCTATGACTTACTTTGTGCATAGATTGTGTCCCATGCTCTCTCTGTTTGTAGAAAGAATGGATTGTGTGGGGTTTTTTTAAACTTGAAGAATGGAAACATTTATTTAAAAATATATGTGCGGGTATTTTTGATGTCCGGTAGCACAATACATGTGGTTAAATTTGTTGTACTTCCTGTTCTCTTGAGCCAAGCAAAGCTTTGAGCCATTGCTTCAGTCCCACATCTGGAAAATATGGCAGTATTCTTTTTTTTTTAAAGTAGAGCTGAATTAAGCATCTCACTGTTTCTCAGATCATCTGTACGGATTTTGTGATACGTAGGACAGGACTTAGAAACAGAGAAACAGAGTGAGTCAGACGGGGCCTCCTGGGCCATCTAGTTTGACCCCTGGCTCTAGCCAGCTCCACTCATGTCATGCTTACCATATGCATGAGGACTTGGAAGGTGGCGCATCAGAGGTGATACTAACTTTCCCCCAGGAGGCCAAGGTTTTCCAGTTTCTATGTTTTGCCTGCATTGTCTTGATTTAGAGGATCATCCAGTGATTTATTTTATTTTATTATTTTATTCATTTTTATTTTATTTTTTGCCTCCGCATAGCTCCGCGTTTTGACAGTTGATCGGTCAGCTCAGTTCAGCAAAAATGCTCAGTGATACTGGATGAAATTTTCAAATTGAGCAGTCAGTATGTATTTCAGTCGAGGAAGACAGCTGCTGCTCATACATTGCCGTGTGCAAGCACCGTAGGATGAAACACCAGCATTTTCACTAGTGATAGGATTTTTGTGCCATTAGTGCACACAGCACTTTTGGTGCTGGCTGTAGGTCTTGGAGGTCCTTT